CCTCAGGACTACCAAGTACTCAGAACTTTTGTTTGATGCTTAATGGAAAAGTTGACCCGGAACAATGGGCCATTTCTTGATACGAGTATCCAAGGTTGACCGACTAAAAAAGTCTTACAAGCGTCACTGTATTTATATAACGTCAATCACGTTCGTTAGTACGCAGTGATCATTCTGGTAATATTTCATCACAAAAGGAAGCCTTATTTCCCTTCCGTGTTCGTGATCATTGCAATCACGTAGCAATACTCGCATTGCCACAGCTGAAAGATGTTTCTACGTCAGCTTAATCAAAGACGTAAAAGGGTTTTCCGGGCTTATCTTTTAAACACTTTCATTATTCTTTTCTTAACGGATATGAAAGAAGAGAGAAAAACGGAGAAACCAGCAGCTAAAGTTATACGAGGGAATGAAAGCTAAGAGTAACGTGCAATAAAAAATTGGGCGGGATTTTTCCAAAACTTATTCAATACCTGGATACAACCAGTGGAAACGATGACGAGAAAAGAACAAAACCGAAAACTTGATCGTTTGATTATTATCATTACTTTTTTCTCACTTTAAGTACAGTTTGGAATTCCCGTCCTGTCGGTTAGCTGTAGCTTAACTCATGACCCATATGTAGTCGTTTTTACAGGTCAAACGAGTTCAGTATAATACTGTTATCCTTAGTAAGATTATAGAAAGAAAGCTGTTTTCCTAAGTTTATTCCATTAAGTCATTCATAGACTTTGTTAGGACATTGCTCACTCCCTTTGGTCCATGAAAACCGTGAGACGATTTGATAATAATAAAAAAAAAACATTTTAGAAATGTGTTTGATGTGAAGGACCGCTCCGGATATCAACAAACTGCATGGGTTTGGTAACCTGCCAGGCCAACAGTTGTGACAAATCAGCTTATCATGTCTCTGTTTATTGAGCCTGAGATAATCATATGTTAAGAACCGACACTGGTGTCGCTATATGTACTTAACAATCCCACACCTGACCTGGCTTGTGCATAAGGAAAGTTCTGTTCTGAAAGATTTATGACTGTTCTTAAAGAAAAGCCCTAGCCACAAAATTCCCTTTCCGGTCTGGTAACTTCACTTCATGATCTGCTTGCTCATCATAGGGAGAATTCAGTCGTCACAAGAGTATTCTTAAAAATTTTTTTTTTGAAAAACTTTAAAATGTTGCTTGCCAATGCTCAGGCATATTGATAAAAAAAACGTCCATTTTTTTTAAAGATGGTAAAAAGCAGAACAAATGATAGGGTTCAACCGAGTTCTTTTCGGGAGAAAGCCTCCAAGAAACCTACTGTACTGTAAATCTTGAAAGGTAATCGGAAAATCGATTGCCTTTCGCTAGACTTATTACTGAAAGGTGTGGTGGAATATTATATTTTCATCTTAGATACAACGTGAATTAAGTTTGTAATTTTCCATTCTTAGCCTTGCCTTTTGTAAATTTATTCTAAAAGGTCAGAGAGTTCTCTAATTTTTGCAGATCATCCTCCCCATCCTTCAAAATTATGGCGGTGACAGCAGTGAAATCTCGGTCCATATATCAAAAACTGTTTCTTTACTTTTTCGCCACTCTGCAGAGGGACTAATCAGCTGAAGTTTCAATGAGTTTAGTCACAATGTAATTTTACAGATATTAATTGATTGGCTTTGGAACGCTTGATTTTCTCTCAGAATTTTCCTCGGAAATATGCAAGACTTGGGCGTGGAACTTAAATGTAAGTGGCGACATCGAAAAGTAATGCAGTTAATAGCTTCAGGAAAGAGACATCTGTTTCCGTCAGTTCGTGAGAAATTCTTGCGGCTGTTGACCCAACAGGAAAAAATCATGCAAAAGCTAAACAATCGTAATCAATTATTTTCTTAATAAATCCCTTGTCGGAGAAAATAAATGTCAGTTTAAAACCACGAAGAATTATCACCCTAAATGAGACAATACATTACATTCACTACGTTATGACAACAATGACACCATGTCGCGACGCGACTCCGTCAGTTTCTCAACAATATGAAAAGGAAATTACTTTATTAATCAGTTTAATCATTCCGTTGATTTATTTCAAAAAGGTCAAGATAATTACCTGGCACACAATCAACAGTAAATGATAGGATTCTTATCTTCTTGTTAAGAAGTTGTAGAGTATTTATAGCGTCAAATAGAAAATAAATCAAATAATCGAGTGATTATTTCGGCACAATTCTTGTAGGACTTGGCGCCATTTGAAAGAGTTTTAACTGACCTTATCTGTTCAAAGTGGATTGATTACAGAAGCCCAGATCATCTTTAGCAGTTGGGCTGAATGGGAGCCGGCCGGAAAAAATTTGTTGAAAGGCGCTTACGACGCATTGGAGCTGCAATTCTGATAACCGAGATAACGTTTCTTTTTTTATCGTAAGATGAATTTTTTAAGTATTCAGACCTTAATCACTTCTCCCCCCTCCCTGCCAGTCAAACTACCCATTTTATAATTTCGTTGACCCACAAAACCGTAAAAGGCATCGCCTGGGTTTTTAGTGAACACCCTTAGATTTAAGTCTGTAATTTATTTATCTCCGCTAACAGAGAATACATTGGGAATCTCTCTAATTTCCTGGTTTCTTCTCGTGTTTGCGTGTGTATTTTAACTATCACGTGTTGTCTTACGTATTTGAATAACTTCTTACACCTTTTACCCTTTTTTCAACAGACCGTCTGCCACTTGCTGACATGTTAGGCTTTATAGGAAAGCCTATCTTACAATAGAAAGTAACACTTGTCATCAATTACTCCATCTCCTGGAGAAGAAAAGGAACTAAATCCTAAAGTCGAGCAGCGATTTGACAATGATGACCTTGCTAAGTTAATGGGGCATTATAAAAACTGTTACATTCTTTGCAAGTTATTTTAGGTATGGCCTCTGAGGAGATGTATTTTTTTATCGCATTTGTCTTATCTCCACGAAATGGCACCGCTCTACGCCAAGTTTGCTATCTGTTTGTTTGAAGGTGACATCAACAACCGCTGAGTAGTCTGCAATATTTGTAGAGCTGAAAATTGGCCACCCTCTCATCTCCATAACACATAGCTCACTAAAAACTTACTCGTGTCTAACTAATCGATTGTTGTTCTACTATCACCATAATAACTATACGGAATTATGAGAAAATCCTACTTCTGCCTGTAGAAAACTAAAATTTAATCGATGCCTCAATTCATTTAAAATTTATACCCTCGCCATTGCTGGGGTTATTTCCCTCTTGCGTGATGCAATTTATGCTTTTGCATCATCTAAAGTTGGTAAATGTATCTGCTTGATGAAAGAAATATTCCCTCCACAAGACACAGTGAAAAAGATGCTCTTAGCGAAAATTTGATTGAGTTTTATCTCTCCTAAATTTAGCTGATACATCTGCCCGAGAGTTCTGACGATCCAGCCAACGTAATTGATATATCACTGAAATAGATATGATTTTCTTGAAATCACGTATCTTCCTAACTGGTTCAAGAATACCGACCACCTTTTACCAAAACTAACTTGGCTGTGGTTTGGCATGCTGTCTCCGCGTCAATGTCGCGCATAGCTGCCCTTCTAGGGCTGAAGATCTGGTGAGCCCATTATGGTCGAGATATCTCCTCCCCGGACCAAAATAAAGCTTTGGTTTTGCATTGTCATTGTAGCTTTATCAAACTCGACTTAAGTCAAAAGAGATGAGACATTCGCTGGGTTGGATCTCTATACGGGTGCCATGAAGGATTCATTGATGAGGACAAACTACTATGCTTACACTGTCTGTAAGCTGACACTTTTCAGCGAAAGAGTTCTGGTCGTCACAGACTTCAACTATTCCACTTATCTTTGAGGCAAACATTCCAACACTATTTGCGGTCACTGTATGATTGAACAAAAAAGAAAAAAAAACTGCGACCGATCTTCCATAAATATGAAAGTATATCATTTTTTACTTTGTGAGCTATAGTGGGAAATTCTTCAAGGGTCTTTACACCATCCATCATCCTTTATTTACTTAATCATCTTAACTTGACTATTATCATGTTTACCGTAAAAGACGCCAGCCTGATCTTTTTAACAAATACCCTTGTTTTGTTTGTCGAGAAGTACACCGAATATTTTTCAATGGCTTCTTTCCTTTTCTTCTTAAAACGCGCCGTCTTCTTTACAAAGTGAAAACAACCCCCCTTAAGAAGTAATAATCACATCGTCCTTAGATGTCATTCGGTGTCTGACTGTAAGTCGTTCCCAAATGATTTATAACTTGCATGCAGGAACTGCGTACTATATATTTTCTAACTTCGCTGTCCCAAGTAAACGGTCACTATTTTGCCTTCTTTGATAAAATACTTCAACTTTGACTTTGTTTGTATGGAATAAGTTTAAAATGATCATCGATTGACCATTTTACCACGTCTTGTACTGAGCAACATTTAGAAATCTGAATCAAAAATATTTATGTCACGATTCTGTATAGGCTACACACGATTCTACTGCGTGATTACTGTTTGCCAAACTGTCTAGAGTGGGTCACTATATTATTGTGGACCATGGATGTCCACAGTGCTGGTGTTTGTCTCTGTCGATGATGTTCCTTGCTATTCATAGATAGTTAAGAGTCTTTCGCTCTAGTTAGGATTTCAGTGGATAGCTTTGTAATAATTCGAATTTGAAGAGAGCTATTTGGTGCGCATTGTTTTTAAATGCTTTCATATCCAAACCTAAAGGTAAGTTGCGGGTAAAAGTGAATTAACAATGTTGTTGGACAATATTTTTATTGCGAAACCAAACGAATAAAGAAATTGCCTTTTGACTGATCCCAGATTTACAATCCCCCAACAACCGCACACCTTTCCCACAATAAGATATTTCCTAAATACATTTTTCAATTAAAATGGGTCACCGTCTGCCAACATGAGTATTACCTTAGGAAGAGAAATGTAAACACGAACAACATCAAATTGTGACGCGAGTGGATGCACGAGCAAGTGTTTAGCAATCACTCAAAGAAACAAAATTTTTATTATGGTGTTAATTGAAGGCATTGCTCTTCTGTCGCGGCGTTCCTGACAACAGCATTCATCCCAGAGAAAAGACGCAGATTAAAAAGTTCAATTAAATGAGCAGAAGCGACAATAACGTAAATGTACAAAATTAGGATGCACAAAATTATTTAATCACTATTTATTGCATACCGTAAGACATGAAGCCAAATTTTAGCTTCGAAATACATGCACGTATGCGAGGAGGTTTCCTATTTGTTGAAATGCAAGATTGCATAATCATGTAAACTATCATTTTGATTTTGTTTTTTGTAGTCGATGGAAATAATAAATCATCTTACAAACAATATGACTTACTTCCTTTTCACTGTTCAGCACAAAGCAAAAGCTGTATTCGAGGAGATGAGGAGGTCATTAAGACGAGTATTACATTTTCTGGGAAAGAGGTATCACTGGAGCCCACTCATCCGCCGCAAGCTTACACTATCGCTCGAGGACCAACGAGCTGGAATTGTGAATGTTAGATTTTAGTGATGAAATATAATAAATCATCGTAGTTTACGATTTTAACTTGGTTGTCTCAGCCTCGGATTACCAGCTCTAAGTAAACTGGGTAGCTTCCTAATCAATATCAAATGTTTGCAAAGCAAAATCCAGGCTTAGTGTAGATCTCAATAAAGTCTTGAACTCTTCATGGTTTCCGCCCGAACCCACGAAAAGCGACATGTTTGGAATGCGGTCAGTAATCAGTCAATTACTCGGATGATCCGCATCCTTTTCCCAGGCCGATGGGAATTTACATCACACTTACGTATGAACTAAAGGCACGTTTCGCCCCAGATCTACTTGAAACTAGGCGTTCCAGTTTGTTTATAACGCATACAAACAAACTGAAAGTGCTCGAATGTTCAAAAATGGCCCATCAGTTTATTGTGAATAGTTTCACGCCCAAGTAGTAATTCTGGCACGAAATAGGTGCTCTTACCTCCTAAACTTATTTACTAAGTCACAATTGGACATGATTGTTATTTCTCCTTGCAATCGATGACTTTTCTGTTTGAATTAAGGGTCGTTTACTGAAACAATTAGCAAAGATTAGAGGAAAAACATCATGCTTGCTGAAGTCATAATTTTACGAGAAGGGATGTAAAGACATATTGGAATAGACGACCTGAAGGTTGGAGGATGGACAAAAACTGGGTATAACATTGTAAAATTGTGGCACAGGGCGAAAATGAGTGTTCACTTCTCCACAGCAGGGAAAACCAGTTTGAAAATGGCTAAACATACTGTTCATTTCTTCCCAGCGCAAACTGGCTTCATAGTCCGGCGCCATTTGTTTCTTCCACTTTGTTCGCCGATTTTGAAACCATGTTTTGACTTGAGTGTCTGTTAGATGAAGTCCCTTCGCCAAATTGTTTCTTTCTGTAATTGTCAGATATTTCTTGTCGTGGAATTTTTCCTCCAAAGATTTTAATTGGGTACTGGTAAACGCTGTGCGTCGTCTGCGAATCTTGTTGATGTAAAGGCTCTCGCGGCTCGAAGGCACAGAATCATCCACGTAACTTAGGTTTTCCTCCGATGAATTAGTGACATAAACTGCCTCTTCTTCTTTCAAAGTACAACCTTCTTCGTCATCTAAAGCGAAACAATACTCCACGCAATTAGGAAAGATTTTCGATGCGTTTATTTCAACTGAACAATAGTTCTTGTCAATGAAATTAGAAGCAAACTTACTTTCCTCGCCTGTGCTTTCTCTTGATTCATGAAGGCTGTGTTGACCTCCTGAGGAGCTTGAATCTTCATTTTTGTGTTCGGAGTGTCCCAAAATGGCATTGATACTGAACGAAGCCATAGACATGTGATGCTCACAAGGAGAAGAATGTTAATGACGATAACTTCCCCTGGAAAGTAATAAAATCAACAACCATTCGTAGCTGTTAAATATTGTGATACTAACATCCGGAGACGATTAATCTCTTTGACAGCCAATTAGATATGTCTGATAACCTTCGTATGTTTCCACTTAAGAGAACAAAGAACCGGTAAATGTTTAGCGCTAACTATAAACAGAGAGATATAAGCGATCAATATGACATATAGATAATTATATCAACAAATATTTGACTGGGAAGATATGAGATTATGTATTGCGTTTGTCTCCAGTTAAATTGAACACCTCGGCCCCGCTGTTATTCTCTTGAATCCTTGATCGTTTTGAACTTCAAACTGGGTTATTTTTACCCTCCCACTAGAAGTAACAAATAATCAAATTAAAAAAGCATTTTCGCAATGAAGTCAAGGTTCGTATAATTGCGTGAGGAATTATAAACAAATGTTATTAGAGGCCTTATAAGACTTGGAATTGATTCAACAAATGTCAAGCTCATTAAAGCCGACAATTGCCTAATTATCGAATTTCCTGTACTCTGTTGTTCCATTTAGACAAGTTTAAAAATTATGTTTCAATGTTGGTATAGTTGTTTACAGTTTGTGCTCAAGGAAAATGTTGCTTAATAGGTAGAAGAATTTAACCTTTTTAAAGACAACGTTTTTATCCACTTGACATTAGGTGTTAGATCCAAGTTCAAAGCTTTTAGATGATGAATGATTTGAATGTGCAGTGTGAATTCCCCCGCGAAGAGTTAATTTACAGATGTTTTAATAATGATTAGATAACATAATCAACTAACACTTAAACTCGAAGTTTAAATCATTTGTGGTTATTTCGGGATCAAACACGTCGTTTTTTTCCTACAGAATACTGAACTATCTGAATATAACCTCATTTTATTTTCGCAACTTTACATAACAAATGAAGAATTGATGTCAGATGACAGCTGAGAACAACTAGACTTGAAATAATCCATGGACAATGCAACATAGCAATGACACATACTTGTACAAAATAAATTAGTCCACAAGCTGAAGATTGTATATTGGTTGGAAGAATGGAATTCCTGACCACATGTCGGAGCGCAGAGTAACCGTGAACTGTGTATCGCTTCAAGGGCGACCAAGACACATACACAAGTAAAATTCTTTTCGCGTGCGATGTTTAGATTCGACATCATTGAAAAAGTATTAACTTTCTGACAAAGTAATCCATGCTATGAGTAATCCTGACTTCCTGAGCATTTAGCCTTATTGGATCAGGCGTTGCTATGCTTAAGGCCAACATCTAAGTGTAATATTCATCTGAAAATTTTCTCCTATTTCTGTGGTTTCTTGGCACTAATTCGGAATCGTCGGCCAATGGCACCTTCTTAACCAGGGTAAATGCCTATAAGCACAGGTCATTGGGATAATCCTGTTGTAAGCAGTTTGTCATAGCTCTAATCTGGGGCATTTGTTTATAAACGTTTACTGCCTTAAAGTAAGTGGTTTTACTGATCGGTAATTTAGATGAATGAGACCGTTCAGCCCCCAAACATAAATCTGGCTTTGAAGTCAAAGCTTCTGATCTCTTTGCTAACTGGGCACATTCCGGTCCTAGACCCTTGGCTCGAGGGCAATACTGTGTCCGTGGGCGTCTGGTACAAGAGGTTACCGCGTCCACAAACATGAACCATCCATACCATTCCAAAATCATCAGTATTAGTCTCGTGGCTATGTGCTTACCCTGCTGTCCATGAAGACCGTACGAACGAAGCTGAGCCGAGTGTTGTTTTCACAACGACCCTAAACGTTGTTGAAGGAAGGCTGTACAAGTTGATAATATTCTCGGATTTTAAAATAATTACTTTTCTACCCGCTCTAGTGTCAAAACCCGTAACACTTCTGTCCGGTATCAAAGGCTTAGTCCTAAGCAAACTTCAAGATTTTAACGACTTGCCAAGGGAGGATGATAAATTTTGATCTTATTCGGGGAATAATGAATTTTTTTACAAAGTATCGTGTGCATGGGATATAAAAACAGTTCCTAGGCTCCCACCAGAAACTGAACTCTGTACCTTTATATTTCGTGATCACATACTCGTCCACTGAGTTACAGAGAACTTATTGTTATAGATTTGTATGTTACACATGAGTATTTGTGTTCTTGCTGCTGCAAGGATGAATGCAGTCGAAAGCGTTCAGTGCGCTAAAAGATAAACGAAGATATTGGTTCTTCGGTAATTTTTTTTATAAATATCAGGTATAAATAATGATTAACGTATGTGAATGCGCATGCTTATTAGTAAGTTGTGGCTTGGATTAGTTGATATTGTAATCGTGTAAATCATCTTCCTGGTCTGATTGTGATCAAGAATATTTCGTTCAAATTTTTTTCAAATATGCCCTGAGCGATTTGAAAAATCACTCTATAAAACTTTTAGCCTTCCTTTATTTACCAACGGCAGTTGCTCTATTAAAGAAGACTCATTGCATTGGGAGCTCGCAGATAAAATAGTCATCTGTGGTCAGCAAAAGGCAATAAAATTTATAAGGACATTCGTGAGCTTTATTTGATCAGATCTTTCACGAGTGCTGGCTTAATCCGGATATTATTCATGTGCTAATCGAAATAATTATTCTTCCTTATTCTTCTAAACGACCATCTGTCTCACTTTGAGGTTCTAAATAATTGGATTTTTTAAAAAGTTTTAATGCACAATTAAAGTCAGAATGAAAAAAAGATCTTTAAAAGACTGCTCTGTTCGAACATCAAATGAGAGCAAAGTGTTAAGGTAATCATGAAATAAACCCGTGTAACGTGTAAATCCATCGGGAATATTCTCATTAACACGTGCAACTTTGAACAATGGATCTTTGCTTTTCCCATAAAACCAACTGCTTGAATTGAAAAAGTTCTCATAAATTTTGTTAGCCTTTGTAATGCAAATGAACTTAATGGAAAGGCGCTAACAAACAGCAATGTTTTGCATAATCATTTTAGGTAAGAATAAGTCATTTCTCAGCTTGAAGCAGATGAGACACAGATAAATTTATTTGCGCTCTTTTACTGAGAAATAGGTAACCTGTCAAGTTAATTTTAAATATTCAATTCCTTGATTTTGAGCCAAGATCAGCTTAGCACAATACATGCTCCAAAAGCCAACTGAAGGGAATAAAAGAAACGCTTAATCCTTGAAAATATGGAAAGTTGGTCAGTGGATATTGTTCTTCTGCCTTTTTACATCCTCATCGTGATAGCTGGGATTTTAGGAAACATTTTGTTTATTACCGTGGTCAGGAGGCACCGATCTATGCATACTACTACTAACTTTCTCCTGGCTAACGTGGCGGTTTCTGACATCATTTCCTTGGTGTTTTGTGTACCGGGAATTATTCTGCGATTTGTGGAGCACCCAGGCGGTAATGTGGGTAGTTTTCTATGTAAGTTTGTGACGATGCATCTGGTTGCAGGGATCACTTTACTCGTTTCAGGACTTACCCTTACTCTTATTTCAATTGAAAGATACAAAGCTTTGCTGCGACCCACGAGTTTGCACTTAAAACTCCACAAACAACGCGTTATAATTGCGATTTCCCTTATTTGGGGATTTTCCATCGCTTTTGTTTTGCCTTTGTTTATAAAGCAGAGATACGAGGAAAAGGTGAAGCAGTGCTTTATGGAGTGGAAAGAGAGTAATTCTCGAATTTATTGGACACTGTTGGCGACACTGGTGGGTGTTGCAGTCATCACTATGACTTTCTGCTATTTTCAAATCATAAAAGCTCTTTACTTCAATAACATACTTCCTCCTAATGAAAGCAACATCGAGCAAGACGACAAAGACAAACAAAAAATCATAACAATTTTGATAACAGTCACGTTTTCTTTCGTCTTATGCTTTATTCCGTTTATAATCGTCTCGGCGGTCAATCTCTCCACTAGAAGCCTGCTGTACAAATTGTCATATTTTCTTGTTTACACCAGCTGCTGTGGGAATCCAGTGGTCTACATATTCCAAAGTGCAAAGTACAGAGCGGGATTAAGGGAACTATTTAAGGGAAGGCCAGCTGTTCGCCGAAGCGAAAGGTCTTTAGAATTGTAACTCTGTTTGTGACGTTGGTCGCTTTGATCGCGTTTAGCGATATGGTATCAAACGAGATAAAAATTACTTTAGGCCACCATAATGTCGTTTATTCATAAAGAGATTCTTCATGACAAACATTCGTGACTATGCCAACGGATAGCTGAAGACATCTTAATGTCCGGTCTTATAATAAGAGTATTGGCTGGTTTAAAGAAAAATAATCTTGTTAACTATCGTTGAATCATGGTTACGTGGTTGCATTGCCATTACGTTCGTATATTAACGCAGAAAGGGCATTAATTCGAACCGTTATTTCGTGATGATCAGGTAAGAACACCGTCGAGATAGACTTGAACAAATATGGTTGGGTTTATCACCAGCCATATTTAAGGGTACTGAAAATGCACAACACAACTAGTGAAAACAACTTCTTGTTACTATCCGCAAGCTTTTCCTGATCATGATAGATCAGACTTGAAGCCTATGATGCTTGAACCAAAGAAATTCTCCGCCGCGTCCTTATCAATTTTCGGCCTATTTTTTCTTTATCCACCGAAAAACGGATAAAAGTTGGCAAAACAAATCCGGGTAAGATAAAACTGGTGACCATAATCATGTTTTAACTGAATACGCCTTTAAAATCACATAATTCTGCTGACATGATGACTAAAAACACAACATGAATAAAATGATTTGTTGTTATTCCGTTCAGTCATGGAATTGGAAGCAGTCTGAAGGTGAATTAAACAGTTCAGTCTTATCAAATCCATTTGTAGATATCAGGAGTCATTAAGTTCGAATCATCGCTAACTTATTCTCAGCTGTTTTCCTCGTGTGTTTTTTTTCTTTTTATTAATGAGGTCAATGACAGGAAGGATAGAAGAGATCCGTAGATATATTTTGGTTCACTCATTCGTGGTGGTAAGGTAACTAGCCTCTTTCCTGCCTAATGTGACTAATGTGTGATAACGTGCCCCCCGGGAGGGTTTATTGCAGTGGATTTATTAACGGTGACCACTAATAAATTGAATTTCTTCTGAAATCGGAAGATCTGTGGTTCATATCTCAACGGGGTGCTAATTCTTCCTCTCATCCTCACGGAAATTATTTTACTTTACTTTTCATTTTTCGATGTTTCCTTCATCATTGAAAACATCATCTTCAAAATGCTGCAAGATGCAAGAGTCACGTATCCACCCTTTTCGAATTGCCATTTCACATTTTTTTATCATCTTAGAATTATTCTCTAAGTATTGTTTTAAATTTCTTTGGAATTTTACGTCCTCCATGGAATGCAGAGACAAAGCTTATGCAAACTATCTGTGTGTTCCTTTGAGGGCTGCATTTCGTCCGAGAAAGACTGGGAATAAGTCCGAGAGGGGGCAGTAATTAGGCTTCATTATTCTCCATCTTCTTTGTAACCAGTCACTTGTCAGTACTTCTTTTCGCTCTGTGTAACAAATGCTTTCAGTCAGATCTTTATGAAAATGAATATCTTATTACCTTTTTTTCGAAGTTTCTCTTTGACGAAATGACAACAGGTTTCGGTTTAGGTGTAAAGCAATATTCCTCACCCAGCTATACTTCAACATATCTTTTTTTGCACTGTAATTATGTCTAGATTTATTGACAAAAGTTATAACTAATGCAAATGGGCGTGGAGGTTGCATCTTGCATTGCAGTGGGAGACTGCTGTAAGTTGTATTTTGCTCATGAAAAATGTATTTTCAGTTAATTGCCCTTCATCTAATAATTTTTTCTTTTAGATTTGTTTGACGGAGGTGAAGGGAAGATGTACTTAGCGATCACATAATATTTACCCTTATCTTTACAGAATTTTGATTAGTAACTCTCAGAAACGATAGAGTTTCGTCACTCTGTCGTTGTAAGTGATCGGAACTTAAACATCCTCTCTAACAAGGGGAAATCACCGGGAAGATTGATTGGTGTGACCTTAGTTCCCCTAAATGCGGATACATTTTTTGCGTAGTTTGTTGTTTTTTCGGCTCTGTGAGTGTCCAACATTCCATTAATTACATTTGGAGATTTATTCGATTACCTTTGGTAGTTCAAGGACCTAAAAACGTCATGCAATATTCAAGGAGATGGCCAGGGATGAAGATTATTCAGCTAAGTCAGTTTGTCTGCTGGGAGACTGGCCCTATTGCGCAAATTTCTCACTTGCGCATGATCTACTTCAAACTTAAAAATTTCGTCTTCTCGTCATCACTTAAAATCAGCAGGTATCGCAAAAATGCGATACACATATAATGCTGTTATGTTTACTCCACATTGTTTTTTGTTTTTTTGAGTTCTTTATGGGTCATTTATGAAACATTAGCGCTGTATCATTAAGGAAGCATCGGTCCAAATACTAGCTAGAACATCAGATGCTGATAAGAATTATTATTTAATTATTTTATGGTAATATCTACCAGTTCAATACTATAGACAGCTGTTGTAGACGACAGCTGAAATACATTTCAAATAACTTCGTTATGCAAAAAATTGCACAGCATTACAAATCTATTTTCAAAGTAGTAGTTTCCACCATGAGTCTGAAACTGTTGTTACTGTTTCCTATGAGGTGTCGCCTTTGCGCTGAATTTTGTACTGACAAGGTGCAGAGCAAGAATGTTCTAAACGAGTGCGGACAATTCACGAAGAGCTATTTTAGTTCAGAACTATTAATAGCTGCCACAACATTACAGATTATGAGATCTGCCGAAAAATAACACAGTTTGAAAGAAATATAAGAATAAAGAAATTAACCCATAAAGCCGGCAGTTGGATGCGCGGGCACTGTAGTCATGTCACCATAAACAACATGCAGGTTAGACGACGGATAGAAACTTTGTATCGTGTTTAAGTTTTGTAGCTGTAATGCAGGGTGGAGTAGTGATGGCATTTCTCGTCCACAATAAGAAATACCAGTCTGGAGGTGATTAAAGACACATTTCATTTCCTCCAACCGCATACTCGCCTCAAAGTCAGGCGCCATTTGCTTTTTCCATTTAGTCCGCCTGTTTTGGAACCACGTTTTAATTTGAGTATCGGAAAGATGAAGGCTCTTGGCCAAGTTATTTCTTTCAGTGATTGTTAAATATTTCTTACTGTTAAAAGTATCTTCTAGAGATTGTAACTGGTTGCTTGTAAATGCTGTTCTTCTTCTACGGGTTTTGTTGAGATGAAGTTCTTCACGGATGACTGGTCGATGATATTCATGTGGCTCTTCATCTAAAAAGTTTTCGTTCGCTTCACCTAAGCAGTAGAAAATACCACTCGATTAGACAATATATTTAATCAGAAGATCTTTACGAGCTTCCAAATTGCCCATTTGACATTGTGAAGAGGCAACCCTGACAAATGAAACAAATTATTGTCTCTACAGAAATAAAGACATGAAAGACACAAACCTGTTTCACAGGCGTCTGAAGGTGAGTTCTCAGCCACATGATGTCCTTCGGCATATGTTTTTTTCTCCTGTTTCAGGGACGAGTTTCCCAAAATTGCGTTTATGGTAAAAGAGGCCATGAAGTTGATCTGGTACGAGCCGCTCACTAAGAGAAATTGAAACGCCTACGGGATTGCACAAATTTGTGTAAACCCATAGCTGCTAAATATTATGATACCAGTATCCGGACTATTAATGCTTTGACAGCCAATTAAGATAATATTTGATGACCCGTGGGATGTTTCCACTTGACGAACAAAAGAGCGGTAAATGTTTGAAACTCTATATTAAGGAAAGGGTCAGGGTTTTGTCACTTTGGCAAAACGCTAATTAGATAGAAATTTTTGGCTGGCTTTAAACAGAGCTATGTAAAATAACATCAAGGCGATCATCGACCTAAAAATATCCTCACTGTGAAATTCTTTGCCAACTTTTATTTTACGAGAGCTTGTTGGCTGGCTAGCTTTAGAATTCACAACACCAACCACGTAAGACCTGTTTAGGAACGTTTTTAATTTATAAATATAAATTTATCAATGAAGCTTCATATTCATGGGCCAGACAATCCGTCATCACGTGATCTGTGCTTCTTTTCCCTTCCATTCGTTACTAAGCAATTATTGCAGCTTGAGCAAATTGCAAAACCCCTAACTTTGAGAGTGGTTTAATTTGATAAGCTCAATTACAGTAAGAACGGAAAATGATTTTCACCGCACTGGGAATTATCTACCGCACACAGAACTGTTGAAACATTTCAAGCGACCGTCCCCTGCAAAGGGTTAATTTGAAGATATGATTTTACTTTGAAAAAACGCATTGGAACAGCCCAGTGAGGTCATGCATTTTGGCAGCTTTTGACGAATTCAATATCAAAATTTGTGTTAACGTTTTGCCAGTCGTAAAAGAAAAAAAAACCGAAAGAGATGGATCAGAGCGCTAGAGCCCTGATTACTCTCGATATATTATAACGAAACAAATGGCGCTTCGGACAAACCCCTGTAAAATCTGACGTAACCTTATGTACTGTCTTTAGGTGCTCATAATTTTTGACAGAGAAATCCAACGTCGCGTGCCATTCGCCTTGGCTGGTCATTGCATTCTTAACCCCCTCAGTATTCGATTTTATGAATCTTAAAGATCATCCTGATTATCCGCATTTCCTGAAGGTAACTTGAACGCTGCCGATACACGTTGCTATCCTCTTCTCGAGTAGTATATCATTAATTTTTCTTTTCCTTGAAATATGCCGCAATTGGAGGTTGGTTGGTTACACTGATTAGGCAAATTTCTGAATGAGCATGTACGTATAATCTCTTAAGCCGTTAAAGAGTCCCTAGATCTAAGGGAATCATCTCGAGTATTTGTTTACACTACTTTGTTACCTCAATCAAGTGGTTTTATCGAGAGGTCATTAAAGCATTTAACGGGTGGAAACGATATCCCTTATTTTGGCAATCATCAAGTGATAGTTTAACAGACAAAATTGTTTCTAAGATATGTGCAAAATGAGGGCGAAGCCTTACCATCGTGGGCGTTGAAGTTTTTCTTTTCAGGCTTTTCCGCGTTTGATTCTTGTGCCCGTTGTTATCAATGCTAAGGATTGTGATCACTTCATTTACATCTATTTCTACACTCTACTACATATGCTGACCGCAACAAATGTTACAATAAAGAAAAGGATCCAGAGAGTTAAGATGTTCAACATATCTAACCTGGTAGGTTTCACGAGAACCTCTAATCTGGTATGAATGTAAAGATGTGAACTTGGGTCAGCGAATGATATAATTTTCTTTTTGGGGTCGAATTTATATTGCTTGTTTTTCCAAAGCCGCATTTCATAATCCACAGAAGAATAAACTGTCTATTGTTAAATACTTGTGCTGTTTTGTATCATGCATTGCATAATTGTTGATATCTAACCATCATCTTCCAGTTTGTCATGTTGGTAAAATAACCAGGTGTTTTGGGTTTTAAAATGGGAGACTTTTTGCCATGGGACCAGGTTGTATTTGAAATCATAATGGAGCTGCGAGCTTAGACATGATCGATGGTGAAGGATCCTATGTAACTAGAAATGATCAATCTGTCAAAGCGTGTTACGTTGTGCCGGTCATGTTATCATTTTATTTATTTGGTTTGTTTTCAGCTAAATATTTGTTAAATAATTTGTCCATTAGTTTCTTGTGCGTTTTCTTTGTTATGATGTGGTTCTTGTAATTAATGACTTTCACTCTTCACTCTGCGGCAAGCAACATATTTCCTTAACACAACCCTCAGCATCACGCAACATTGCAGTCTTATTGTGGTTAGCGGCGGCACGACTTAATCTGACATAAGAGTTCAACTGGTTTGAGTTAGCTTCATTTAGTGGCTCTTAACGGCCATTCATTCTTAACAAATCTTAACAGGAAATGACATCCGTTTTTTCATTTGTATACAATCCGTCATTCATTCTCCTCGTGCCTTTGTTCGTTTTATTGATGAAATGTTAGAAATATTCATCAGTCGGCAAAAATAAATGGATTATATCATAATTGAAGTGAATAATTCCTAGAAAAAAGAAGCAAATTTGATGAACTTTACTTTAGTCTATTTTTGTCCAAGGTGCGATGTTAAAATATTGTCTCACCTTCATCTCTTCGGTACTTTCGCAGTTGTGGCGTTATCCGGATTACGCGAGTGCATTTACTGGAATTAGTAATAACTTCCTTCTTCATTTGTTAAAAACGTTATCATTTATAGTTTGCAACTGAACTAAGTTTGCCGAAATAAAGCCGCATATTTCGTGTCTTCCTGCTAATGATTGTCCATACTCAGCTAAATGTAAAACACCTTCATGGTAGTTTGTTAGTCTGTTCCATTTCCATAATAGATAGAGATTTGAAATACGCTGCCATGTGAGCCTTTTTCAATCTTATTGGAGGAAACATGGTGGGGGATCTAGCTTAAGTAGCGAGCAGTCTTAAGAGAAGCGAAGCACGGAATACGTGATTGCAGAAGGAAAGGAAAAGCATTAGAAATAGTTTGACAGTTGAACTTTCCAGGGCGATGTTGTTCATATTGCTTCTTTCAGCCTTACTATTCACCAAAATCCAGTGTTGCTTTCTATCGTGATTTTGTAGGCCGATTCTATAACCATGTTTTGACATGTATCTCGGAAAGGCAGAGGTCTTCCACTCTCTAAGTTCTTTCAGACATGATAATCACTTCTCACTGTGTAAGACACTTACGCCTACTGCTTGCGATGGCTGGCGGTGCGCAGTCTACGGATTTAGCCGTTGTAGGAGATGTTTATTTTGTCTGTAGCTGGGCAAATTCTTTGGCTTTGAAGCTTCTCAACTGGGATGTCAGGAACTCTCTCTCCACATAGAGCAACGATTTCGTTTTTTGTGGCCCAACATAGAGTCTAAAAAATTAGAAAAAGGAACAATATTTCATTTCAGGACTTACTGTCCTCTTGAGAGTTACCAGTTACTTAGTTTGGCGAAAACGGAAGAGATTCCTTTCATTTTCAAAATACAAAAATATCTTGAGGACAGCCCGCCTTGATCAAAACAAGAAAGAACGTTGATTGTTAGGCGTTTGAGACAAAAGGGAATTCCACGCCTTGTGAAATTTACTGAAAATTTTAAAATGCCACAGGACGTTGAGCCTTGACATTGGATGGCACAGGCCTGTTTGCTGCAAATCACCACAATCGCCACAATCGATGCGATCGATGTTTTGATAACTGTTTAGTCAATATCAACATTAGCCCCCAGTTAGATTATTTGATAGCCAATTAAGATAATGCGCTAATTACTCGCGCTTTGACAGTACTAAAAGCACCGACGTATATCATCTGAAGAATAAAAATTGCTAATTGGATCACGAAGAAAGAGATCAAAGAATGATGATCTTTTCGATAAACTTTTGCTTTCAGCGAGATATAGGAGGTCAGTTCTGCTGATGATAAATCGAATATGACTTGACTGCTGCTTGAATACCGAACTTTAGGAACGAAAAAGGTATTTTGGAATTAGATGACACATGTTACCGAGGCAAGGATTTACTGAACAACATACATATTCATTTGTGCTCTGGTAGATAACTAAATGGCCATGTAGAAATCATGAAATATGCAATGTTTTTCTGCGGTGAAGGGAGAAACCAATGACCGAACTGTCAATTAGATCCCATCATTCCATGTGCATTTATCCTTAAAATAACTAAGTTCGGCAAGGCTATGAAATTTCATTTAAAATCGCCGACATATCTAAACAAAGAAGAATGCAATATAGGCATTGCTGCTTCGAGATACACGGTATTGGCGCCTTATATTGGGTCGAGATTGGTGTTAATTGGCCAGGCTATAGGCCAAGCCAAGGGCCACCATGAGCAGTAGGGTTTTTTAGTGCTACCAAGATGGAGGGTGGGTTAAACACAAACTAATAATCATGACTTGTAAAATGGACCAAAAATGTTCAGTGACCGCAAGAGACTTAATTTTAGTGGAATCTGATCATTGGAGTTGGATTACTCAGACATACCTTTCTAATAAAAGAGGCTTAGAGAGAACATTCATAGATGGTATATTAAAAGGAGAAACCGCTGTCGCAAGGGATGAAACTGAAAGAAGTACTTGAAATGCTCATGGTCTTCAAAGATCGCTGGCTACCTCATTTACCCTGCGAGCAGTAGCTCTTTCGGCGAGCCAGGCGTTTTATAGGCATATTCTAACACCTTAAAGATAAGTTAAGAGTTTTCTATCGTCCCAGCGGTTGGAAAATAATTTGACTCGAGGTTCAAATGTCAACGTGACTGATCAAAGGTTGGGTCATGATAATTTCAGCAGGCAGAAACCTACATACCACAATGACTGAAATTTATTGCCTAAAATACTGTGATTGATTGCCTCAATGAGCAAGCACTTCAATCTATTTCCAATTCCTTGTGACACCATCAAAGGGTAGATATCCCGGATGATAAAACAACCAGCTAGCATGCGTTTGGCAAAATCAGTTTAGATTTCTTCTAGAGATGTGGCAACGAATCCATGTACGAGGGCTACGGTGTATACAGAGAAATATTAAATCTGATCGATGGAGTAGACGAAACACTTCAGGCCCAGACAAAGACTAAGGTTGATCTTTTTATTTTCAATATCGATTCACAAGCCGTGACATAGATTAAAAATTGTGACGATACAAATACCAAGAGGTGTTTATCTTTTCCTATTTTGTATCAATTCAACTTTATTCAAATGGAGTTGACTAAAACTTAATAATCAATCAGTGAGTAACTCGCAGCTCGAGGGGCTCATTATGGATCAGCCTTTGCACATCAACCCCGACACATTGGGTTGATCTGGATGAGTGACTGAGCATCATTCTTTACGGGGATTTTATGAAATAAGATAAAAAAAATTAGACAAGCTCTTCCTTCTGAGCTGTCCCTCATCAGATTAGTACATTGCAATCATTTTTGACTGCGACCCGCTGCAAAACGGACGAAACAGTTGCTTCTGTATCAGGGTAAGTTTGTTAAAAGTGTTTGCCATCCAAGTAGCCCGAGTACCCCTCATGAGACTGTACTTACGAAATGGCTTACACCTCAGACCCAGGCCTAAGCCAAAAGTTAAGAAAAAAATTATTGTCAGAGGGCGCTGTTCCTTTGAGAGATGGACATTAGTTTTGCTAAATTATTGTTCTGTCGCCAGTTTCTACTTTTTTAGCTCGTCTTTTTACGACTTCTTCGTTTAGTTTGTTTTTCGTTCAAAAATTAATATTTAATTTCTCCGTTAAGTGTCAATACAATGCCAAGCACACAACTTCGGTTTTGAGGAAGAACGAAAATATCGGTCAGAGGAAATTGTGTTCTCTAGCATCAAACTCGCAGGAACAACATTGTGAGGATAATTAATTTGGGAGCCTCGGGACTTGAAGAGTTGATGATAAACCATTTCTAACCGTACCTCACTGTGATTTCCTAATGAAGCAAGATTGCTACGTCTCCATCACCGCCAAAGGGACTGGGGTCGATATATTCCTATCTCACAGGTCGATCCTATGTTTTGAACGCTCAACCAAGAGATTGGACTTTAAAAGTTTTAATTCCGGAGTATCAGTCTACCAGCCAACTGACTCTCCGCTGAAATTTTTCCTCAATAGGCTGATCCTTTTCATTTGTTCAGAACATGGCACAGTTGCAACAACTACTTACATCTTAAATTGTACAAAATGTCACGGTCGGTAATCCCTGAACTAGCAAGGTGTTGAATGTATAATTATAAGCCTTCCGAGAAAAATTCACTGATTAATTTAAAGACAACCAGCGGACACATGTAATTCACTTGTATCGTTTTCCTGAACCAAGAGGCCTGAAATTCTCTGAAGAATTTTTTTTTCAGAAACGAACCCTGATCACTGAATTAGCTAAATATTTGAATGATTCTGCTTTTCATTGGAAATGTGTGATATTCACAAGACAAAATAGTACGAGTAAGGAGCATAAAACAAAGTTTCTAACGGATAAATATGCTTGCGCGTGATCAAAGTTCTATGAAGCACTCTGTAGCTTCTCTGTAGCTTCTCGACAGCTTCCCAAAGCCAGCTTGGGTTCCGTTGGTCAGTTGTTGAGGGTTACCTAAAGACCGACCACAAACACAACACAAAAGCACTTTCAAAAATAAGCGTAGCGATTAAAAGATTTAGAAACTAGCTTAGCACTTTGATCATTATATGTCAGTTAAATGCTCACGGAAATGTCTGATCTTTAGTTTTTTCTTTCCGGTGTTAGCGCACAACCTGACGTAGCAGGATGCGCGGCAGTTGTGAAGGCTCTGTAATGAAATACACTTGTGCGATTGCAATACAATCGACTAGATATCTGACCATATATCATCAACAAGATGTGTTTCATTGTGTGTATTTGTTACTTTCTCCTCAAAATTGTACCATCTTAAACCCAATAGGATCAACTTGGAAATACGTTCGCTTCAGTATTCAACATTTTGAAATTCAAAAGGCTGGTCCAGTTCATCTTGATGGTGTAAATAATTTGTTATCCTCGACTCGTTGTATCCAGACACCACAAAGTTCCTGCGCCATTTTAACAGACTTGATTTAGACAATGATATGAAAATCTTTTTTGTCGAGACAATGAGATTCACCTTTTCTTCAGACAAAAGAAGTTTCACTTGAATTCTTACGAAAAGACGCCTTGCCAAATCTGTCAAACTTTCCTTGTAATCTTTGCCGGAGAGTACGAGACAGACGATCTACATTCAGTTGGCGGAAGCAGTGGGAATTTATGGTAATTGAAAACATATTAGTAAAATTGCTGTGTAAGAGCGCATAAGGCAACTTGAATGGGCTCGCGCTGGTTGACTTAGCAGGCGGCTTCAGTAACCAGAGCTCGATCAAAGGGTGCAGGAATTCACTTCCTCTGAGATAAAGGGGATTGCTGTTTTACCGACTTTTCGTGTCTAAAAGTAGAATTCACTAATCCTTTGGATAAACGTCAGCCGCTTCGTAGCAAGAGAAAACTAAAATTTCTATGACCTTTTTTTAATTTCTAGTTCCTTTACCCAAAATGGAAAAACAGAAAAATACCAGGAAAAAGGATAATCTTGTTTCAAAATTGGATTTTGACCTCTGTTTTAAGGGAAATTTTTACGGTTGAGTGTGGATAGGTAGGCCATTGTAACTAACCGTTAGCCCTGGCAGTTCTTTAAGCCGCTTAACATCTTAATATTTAAATAATATGTATCATTCATAATGTACTTTGTGAAATCTTACCATCAATACCTTTTTATTTAGGGGTGTGTTTTTGACATTATGATTCTTTAAATAGTTTCAACATTTGCTGAGAATTTGTTCTTTACCAAAAGGTGACTTTATTTGAAGCATTGAGAGATTAAATGTCCAAACATTAGTTCGTTTTACAAAGAAAAGGATGAAACAAGGCAGGTGGTATTCCGATCAAATTTGGGTGATTGACAAAACATATGCTTGGTGAACTAACAAAAAGTTTGTAATACTACTATCACTCCGCTCCACTCCCTTCACTGTGGGAAAGAAGGCTTGTAAGTTGGATGTTACTTCACCGAATTTCACGAATCATAATAAAGTTTTTTTTTTCCAGGAGATCAAGGAAGGAAAAATGTTATGTCTACAAATTCTGTGCTTTGTCACTTTCAAGGAGTCGTCCAGTTTTTCTATGAAGCAACAATTAAGAGGCTTTTCTTAACTGCCGACGTTTTATTGATGAATGGAAAAATACGACAATTTCTCGATAGGAGTCATTTAGGTATTTCCGCCAATAAATTAACAGCACATTTTAGTTTCAATGTAGATTAAAGTTTCAGCACTTAGAGCCATTTGTCAGAGGAACCAAGTTGGTCATACCACAAGAAAACACAGTAACCAGATACGGTTATCTCAGGATAAACACCGCTTACCCTCAAAACAAACCATCATGTTGAAATTTTTAATCGATGGCTAATTCTGAATCAAAAGGCAACACTCCTTTCGCGAACTCATCGTTGATTAAAACATGATGATTTTGGAAATTTCTTTATGGAAGGTCATTTTAACTGCTCTTTATATGATCGTTTGTTATAGCGTTGTGGTGCTATTAAAGCATGTGGCTAATGTGTGCCCTCCTCGTGAAAGATGGGCCCTGGGGCTAACCAAATGGTTGGATTTGTTTGTGTTTGGATAATATCCATCTTCACCGGAATGTTCTATCAAGAGGGTCTGTTAGAGAGGTAATGATGTATTCAACACATTTTATGTATAGAGATGCACTTTTTCAATCCTTCAAATTAACTTGATTTAACCCTTTAGAAATTCTGGCCCATTTGACAATCTTTTCGCTTCAGGATATAATTGAGCATAAATACGGTGAATGCTCCGCACAGCAAGATACTTTCCGTCGCATTAGATCACATATATTTTAAATTTGTTACAACGTGTGTTCAATTATTCGACCCACTGAGCCAAAGCTACTGGTCTTTTTTCTAAGTTGCTTCCCAGTTAAGTTGTCATAATAGATAATCTTCAATACCGCGGCGTGAGAAGCACGAGGTAAGACGGTCAAACGACTTATCTTAAATTTTCTGTTACCCCTCAGGAAATGCTTTTTTTTAGTAGTTTTCTTGAATACTTTCATTCCATCTGATATCAATTTTTTTAAATAACGAACGCGTTAGTCGAGCAGTACGCATCGAGAATTTTTATGGGAGATTTAATCGGACTGAGCACGTTATCAGTTGAACCGATCTTGTTTTTGTGTCAGCGTCAAATGGTGGTTTAACTGTTTATAGATTATGGTAAGATAAATTGAACCAATCGACTCAGAGAAAGCATAACTCAGAACTACGATAGTCTCATTTATGGGTCATATTTATGTTATTAGATTTGAACGTTTGTTGAACTTTATTCAATAACAAAATATCCCGGGTGAAAGAAAAGTTTGGTTACAAAGCAGCGACAACGGTGAAAGATAGAAGCTACCTTTAAACTCTACTTTGCAAATCACTTTGTTCACTTCATGCTTGAGATCAGAGAACTATCGTTGTCGATTTCATTAAATTGGATAATGAAAATATTTGTAGGCAACATTCAAGATGATGGAGCCAGTCAATTCAGCAAATTTTACCATCGCTGCTTTGTTGGGCTCCTCAAGATCGCAGCAAGAACTTATCAGGGACACAGCGCCATTTCATGATCAGAGACTTCGTGGGCCTGAGAGAAACAGGCTTGGGCTTAATACAACGATGGAGAGTGACGAGGAAGATGAGCAAGAATCTCGAAATCCAGGTGACTACTGCTTGAATATAAATGAAAATTATTGTGGGAGAAAAGTGTCAATAATTCATTCATCTGAATTGATAATATGCCGGCTAATTTCATCCGTTCTGATTATTTTGAGTGCTTTTGACCGAGACATTCGATTTATATTTATCTAAATCTTACTCTTGGCTGACAGCTTCAACTTTCTTGTTTTTCAAATAGACAATCGAATTGTGGCATCAAAAGAAGAAGACAGCCGTGAGTCTAAAGCTACAAGGAAGTCTGTAAAAACCAGGAGAAAAAGAACAGCGTTCACAAGTTTTCAATTGAAATGTCTCGAGGAAAAATTCATGATGAACAAATATCTCACCATTGCAGAGAGGGATATGTTAGCAAAGTCTCTTCAGCTCAGTAACAAACAAGTTAAAACTTGGTTTCAAAATCGTCGAACCAAGTGGAAAAGAGAAAATGTTGGAGAAGCAATCCACTTGGCTTATGAAATACAAAGGAGTAGTATTGGACCTTACCACCCCCCATGGGTCCCTATTTGTCATTGTCCGCCTCCTCCTCCAATCTACAGAATGAACACAATGTATTCATGTACGCCCCCAACGTTTATTCCACCACACGGAGCTCAATAGTTTAGGGCAACGCCTATTCTAGGTTTGCTTTCCTTTTTTACGGTTTGTGACACAAAGTACCGTGATACGATGTATTGAAACACTGTAAGAGGACATACGTTGCAGTGATTATGTAATTCGAAGTTGAATCTTGCCGCATTATTCCAAAACGGACAATGGCGGTAAATTGCCTGATAGGATGTTAGTAATTTTCCTTCATGAATAGTATATCATTTTACCGTACAAAATTACAAGTCTGCGATTTTGGGCAAAGAACCAAATGTACAAAAGGTATATACGTGTTAATAAAAGGTTTCCTCGTACAGTTTTGGTTTGAGTTGACACTTATTACTGAACTGGTATGGTAACTATTTTTAACGAGCTAAGATTTCAGTTTAATAGTCAAAAACATCGTCGGCAATAACTGACTTTGTCTTTCTTTCGAGAATAGCTGATTGTAACGTATTATTTCTTTGGCACATCACTACGTTATATGTCCTACGACAGTTTTAAATACCGCATTTGAGGCGATCATTTTGAAATACCTCATCATATTGTCCATCCCAGTAGGAAATACGTAGAGTGATATTACTTTCAGACTTAGACATTTCTTTATGAGGTTAATCATGAATGCCTTTTGAATCTAAATCGGGATTCGGAAGCAACACTTCACTAGCTAGCTTTACTTTTATGTCTACATTAAGTAGGCACATCAAAGTTTGTTCATCTCTAAATATTCAATCGGCCTAAACTTCTCAAGTTTGTCATATGCAAGTGTTAAAATTCTTCATCATTATCCATCGTACTTCCGTCTTCGTTAGTGCTCTCTCTTTGTTTGTTTTCTCTATTATCCCATGTCTTTAAAGGAAATATCGCTGCTCAGTCATTTAAATTCTTTCACAAGTGAATTGCAATTACAAAAGAAGTTGTAATTACCTCAACATAAACAGGAGGATATTTCCCCAATCTTCAAACCCAGCATTTTAAAGTGTGAGGTTTTGCAGCGATAAAAAGATGAGGTTGTACTTTTTTCCTTAGCTGCCGAATGTGACATTAAGTTAAGGAGTTTTCCAATAAAACGTGTTTAGAATTAGCCACGGTCGACTCTGTGACTGTAATACAAGTTATCTAATAGGTCTAATGGGAGGTCGCCAAAAATTAGTGAGCGAAGGTGTTTGAATATCTCAACATTAACCACTTTGGCCTCGAACACGCATCGCATAGTAAGACATAATTCAACTTTATCGATCAAAGTTTTATTTGTACAAAGTCTGCAATATCCCATTCAATTAGATCTCTTAGTTTATGCCCCTATGTTACCGTTCTTGGTACCAAAAATGTTCAGTAACCAAGCAAACTAAGTAGTACGAACTTACTTCCTAAGAAAGCCTTTTTTTTTCCTCAACGTTATTCTATTGCCTACACTTTTTTATCACTCACGATCTCACGCATTGATCAATTTTGCTTCGGCGATGCGATACGTATTTGAGGAATCTAAACTACAGGAATTTTCATGCCTTAGAATACGTCTGGTTTGATGACCTCAATCAAAGAATGTTAATCATGAGCTCTAACAGATAACACCTCTCTAAGATCTACTTACTGTGAGACAATTCGCACACCGGAGTATTCGATCGGAACAACTCTACATTTCATGGTTTCTTTTCGGCGGAACTCTACGCACTAAACAAACAGTCCTCCATGCGTGAACATTACGCAGGCGTAAGTCTGTGAAGGATTACACCTGTTTAATATCTTTCATTTCCACCTTTAAAAGCTTTAATCACCTCTTAGTAAAATCACAATCTCAAGAGTTATAAATGATTATAAACAAACACAAGATCAGACTGAGAAAGGACAAATCCACTCATGAGATCGAAATCTAAAAGGCTTTCGAAACCCCGCGCTTGTAAACATCTAATTCATTTAAGGATCTCCGGACCAACCGGTATGAAAATGCGGATTATCCTTAAAATTTGTAGCAAGCTTATGCTATGAGTTACGTATGTCTTTCGCCCGATTTGGTTGATGGCACGCGACGTAAATTGTTCTTATATGAAAAGCGAGAAAAGTGAACTTGTAGTGGTCTGAGGTTAATAGTCTGTATGGGATGGTACACAGATAGATAAGTTGCCTATCCTAAATAACATGTTTTATTTCGAAGGGAGTAGATTGTTTTGATTAGAAACAAGAACTATTAATCTTCTTATTGAGCTAAATTTAAACATTTTGGCGATCGTGATGAAAGCTCCCCAATTAAACTCTTAGCGGGGGAGGGCTGGTCTTCAAATACGTATCTTTCATCAAGTGCACAATAAGGGGGCTTATTCTGTGAACTCTTTTTCCGCCGTTCGTCACACGGTACACAAAGATCGTCGCATAAATTCTAACTGATTAAGAAATAAAGGAAATGTTTGCGTTTGATATTCTTTGGGAATGAACACGAACGGAGAGTAAAGCTTATTACAGGCTTGTAAGAAAGGGTAAACCCTGACCGTTTTTGTCTGATGACGAATAATTTATCTGGTGCGCTCATTACATTTCCCTTTGAGCACTTACGCTTGATAAATTGCAATTTGCACACCAGAAGAATAGAAAAAGAAAATCCGTTGTTTTTCCTGTATTTATAAAACCCAGGAAAACGTCACACATGCAACTTGATATTAGAGAGATTACACAATTGTCTGGCGATGTTTGGCCGACATTTACAGAACTAATAGTGCCAATTTCCTCGCAATGAACCATACCATCACGCAACAATGAAACATTTAACAAACTCCTCCCCAAAATCTACACTAGATAAATGTCAAAAATAAAGGTACATAATCAGATTTTGTATGGAGTTTTGGCAACGATTTCTCCTTCTAGAATATTTGAAACCGGACACAATTTTTGAACAATGGGCAACTCAGTGAAGTATGTACTTGCGGTAGTGTGTAATGGCTGTGTTAGCCGGCGAAGCATTTGATGATCTCATTATACTACAGTCATCTCAGGTGACAACCGCTTATATGTCTGTTTACGGTAAGTCCCAATCATTTACCGACCCTTTGTTGTGTAAAGTGGAAACAAGTTAAGGTTAGCAGACTATATTTAATTGGCTGTCAAAAAGATTAGCATTGTCCGGATGTTGGTATCATAATATTTAGCGGATAGAAATAGTTGCTGATTTCAATTTAGTCAACTTGTTCCAGGGCGTACTTCAGGTTCCTTATGTTAAAACGTCATGGCATCATTCAGTATAAATGCCATCCTTGGACATTCAACGCAAAAACAACAAGAAACAAACGATGTTGATCTGCGCCACACGAATTGTGTTGATGAAAGTTCCAGTCAACAACAGGACCAAAAAGGTGAGCGAATTGAAGGGAAAATCATCTTGCTATCAAACCATTAGTATGATGCAAAAGCTTTACCTTCGCCATAAGTGTAAAGTTCCATACTATGATGAGAATATGATGAAGATGATGTCTACACATATTTCTCCTTAGAACATTGCCCATCAAAGTTAGTACTTTACAGTGATGAAATCGACGACGGCGCTGAGTTCCCCAGACAAGAGGACCTCTTGAACAAGATACGGCGAAGGCGAACAGCTTTCACAAGCAGCCAGTTAAAATCTTTGGAGCAAAAGTTTCGAGATAAGAAATACTTAACGATCACAGAGAGAAACAACTTGGCTAAAAGTCTTCGTCTCACGGATACTCAAGTCAAAACATGGTTTCAGAACCGACGGACTAAATGGAAAAAGCAAATGGCGCCTGAGTTTGAGGCAAACTTACGGTGGGAAGAAGCGAACGCTATGTTTTATCCGATACAAACTGCAGTGTTTCCTTATTACGAACAATTTGCACTCCCAGTGCCACCGATACCCTACAAGTATAACATTGTACCGAGTTTCTGTCCCTCATCTAACTTGCAACTAGTTCAGACAAATATTCATTCATTTGTGTCGGCCCACGGCTCGGTCTAATAGGATCACTCTCTACCGTAAAGAAGTTACATCATTTGTACTATTTACTACTTACTTACCAGTTATAAGCAAGTTTAAATATCTTACCAGAGTAGTCATTTCATTGTGGTATTAGCCACTTGTAGTGAACAACGCGCTTGAAATCTGTCTTAATAAGTGGCTTTTAGAAGAAAAATCCTTTAGATGACTCGTCATATTTGACAGTGATTTTATCGTCTCCCCCACTAGACCAAACAACGCCAAAATGAACATTTCTTCATAAATTGGTTCTTAAAACAGTTGAAAACCTTGGTGGTAAATTCATTGTCAAGTAATTTGCATTGTAGAATATCTGGCTCAAACGATCCGGAATCAATATTGGGGTTTGTTCTCTGCCAAAGAGGAAAAACGAAAATCAAAGGAAACCGCCACAGATAATGGAGCTCAGTAAAATGTACAATGTAGCATCACCTGACGCTCTATTCAACTAAAATTAAGCCGAGAGTCTAATAATTCATTCAAAATTAGCTGTTAAAACACAGCTTTTTCATGAGCTGATTTGGAAGGCGTGCTTTACCACTCCTCTTGCAAATTTGAAGCAATCGATCAATAAGAATTCCTTATGAAAATTACTTTTCACTCTTTAAACAGCTTGTAAATAACTTTTAGTCACTGTAAACGCTTATTCCAAAAATATTGCAAGACTTTGTACAAAACGCCCTCAACGACGTTACAGTGACTCGTATTTCACTCATTAACCGTAAATCTCAAAAAATTTACATTTGAAATAAATAGTTTGTGTTGAATTATATTGTGCTTTTTGTGAACTGATTAATATATCCTTTAGAATACAGATCCTGTAAGAGCAATTTCCCTACCTTAGATTTTGAACGCTGTGATGATTTTGTGACGAAAAGCTCGCTGAAGTCAAACAAAGCGGAGGAAACAAAACTCGACCAAAGCGGAACCTTTTTTCCCACCCGTACTGATGATAAAATATGCAAGGCAGGAAAAGAGACGGTTCTAGACCAGTTTATGGAGAAGGAATTCGGTCTCTTTTGTTCAATGATTCTCAGAGTTCAAATGATTTCAATTTTAAGATGCCTTAAAAACGCACTAATGTCGGCCAAGAAGCACACAACGCTAGAGAACATGCCTGCTGTTTGCCACCGACGTTGACTGATTTGAGGTGAAACTGCGCTCGCAACACGCAACAATCGTGACGCAATATGTTCCTATCTGGCGGCTGAATGAAAAATACAACGAACCTACGCGCATTTAATGTTAATTGATGTTAACTGAAAGGAACTTTACAAAGATTTCTACCTTCTTGAATTTGAATGATCACTGCCATTTATATATGTCCACACAAACTAATAGTGTATCGAATGTATCAAGAGTGGTTTCTCTCTCCTTGCGCTTTAATTAAGGTGTTATGTTTTTTTTTGATTCCATATTACATCCAATAGGAAATAAGAGGCTCAACATTGACAGAACCACTTTAATGAAGTCTGTTTCCTTGAGACTCGGAAAAGAGAAATCTAACGCAATGGAATAAATGGCCCAGTTCATTTTAAACCCAAAATCAATTGTTAAAGCAATATGAAAAGAAGACGATTTTTATTGTTTTAATAGCAATCACAGAGGCAATCTTCATTTTTCACAAGGCTTACTTTTTCGCGATTTTCGCTGAGAATGTCATAATACAAAGGTGAAATGCCTTACTTAACAGTGCAAATAAGTATTTTTAAATATCTGTTAGCTCTATGACACGATTTTCTTACTCGTCTTGTACTATTTGCGCGGATTTGAGTCAATGGTTTGTACGAGGAGTTTTCCAGAGTTCACTATCGCCATCCCACCCCTCTCTGCCTGCTGGTTATACAGTACTGTATTAAGAAACATAATATTGGGCAGGAATTACTTATTTCACCAATTATCATGGGGGCCTCCCACTAATCTGTTGAAATTCCACAGACTTTGAAACTTGCCAAACAAATTAACGAGGAATGTGTCCGTAGGTTACACGCATTTGTTAACAAACATAATCTAGTAAAACGGCTGAGACAGTGTCAAGTATAATTCTTTCTTGGTCAGCATTTCACCATAATTCTCGCTAATTTAACTAGCTTGAACCTCTAAACTTTCAGGAGAAGACTTGCATGTTCCTTTCGGTTTGGTGCGCTCTTGTACATCTGGCTGATTAAGCTTGATGAAGAGCTAAATGCCATTTCCAGAGTGACATAGAACTTAAGTCATGTTCTCGTTGAAACAAAATTCGAAATTAGCTGTTTTTCCTTAAAAGGAATTTTCTCAAATCATTCTAATTGCAATGAGTAATCCATCTGTCTAATACTTATCGTTTTTACCTGGTAAGAATTTAATTCTATTAGAAGGCCTCTCATCAAGACACCCACTTACCTAAAAATGACGCCGTGATAGGAAACAACACTTTCGAGCGGTGCCGGATGTTAGCAATGTTTTTCATCCGTTCAAACCTTTCTTTTTCAAGGTAACAATGAACTAGAAATCGTACAAATCACTTCAACAGCTATAAACTGTAAATGTGTTCTCAGACTATGAAGTGGATTCCCCTTCTAAACAATTGGTTCCACTCTAAAGATTGCGTTACGTCAGTCCACCTTGAGGCACCGTATGAGGCATTATTTATCCACTCGCCGTCCATGTGCTCAACTGAAGTGGAAAATCTTTCTGTTCTAATCTTTGGGAGCTATTATTTTGTGTAGCAAGATCGCTAGCAGTCGATCATCTTCTCACACCAAGAATGAGTTATTTGGATTGTTTAGGTAAGCACTTCATAAGAAGGTACCACAAATATTAGACCAATTTGTGTCACTTAATATGCTAATTATTTCTGTCGTAGTTGAATTTCCAAACAACATGAAATTCTAGTTGAGCTAATTAAGCTTTGTGGGAGAGTTAAGAAGATAAAGCAGAGATGAAACTACCTTCCGTAAATTATGTTAAAATGAGTAAACAAATAAAGTGCCTGAAGATAAGTAGGTCACCAAAGCAAAGAATGAGTGTTCACAGGCACGAAGTGCACGCTCCAAAATGGGGAAGGGTGGGGGCTCATTAAATCCTAAGCCCGGAAAAAGAATTTGATTTTTTTAAGAAACTAAAAACTCGTTATCCTTGTCAACTTCCTTTAACGTTGACTCAGAGAAATGGTAAGTTTATCTATAAACAGTGGATACCGAATTTGACTTAAGTATCATTCCAAAAATTACTCCATAACATACTTAATTTAGAGTGGAATTAGAGTGTCACAGTAATTTCAGATCTTACCTGGAATCGTTCCTCATAAATCTTGAGTATCAGATAGCATGTCTGAAAAAGCAATTCAAGGCGTGTGCTGTGTAGAAGACATCCCCTTATTAGCTTGTTTTAAGTCTTACAATGCAGGGCTTCTTGCACGTAATGTTTTACTTTTGAGCTCTTAGTCTAATCAATTGGATGATAATGATAATAACAATGGCAATAATGATGTCTATAAAAAGTGCTTTCGTCACGGACATGGTTTTAAAAACAGCCCCGTTAGAGAATAACAATGTAATAAACAAAGAAAACATGGAGTGACACATATAAAAAGGCTCGCATTACAGCCATAAAAATAATGGAACAGAGGTATCATAAGATAACGTAGAGAAAAGAAACGATGTGTTCAAAACTTCAAAATATCGTAGTAAGAGTTCCTCTTACTTCTTGAATAATAAGATCAAAATTAAGATCAGAACTAAGATTATTAAAAATAATCTGCTGCATGGTGTTAGTGTCGTTCCTCCCCTCCAAATTTAGTTTTGGAGGCAGAAGGGTACAAGCTGTCTTTTTAGCGGGTATTGTAGTTGTGGATGGTAGCACTTAGTTAAAAATTGACATTGGAAGTAACGATTTCATTTATTAAATAAGCACTTAGAGAAAAAACAGATCGGTGCTTGTGTCGTCTGTGATTTAAACGTTTCCCCTATAATGTTTTAAGAGCTTATATAGAGAAGGAGTATCTTCGTTTTACGAGGATGATTATCGCTGCTTAGCTTTTCAGGACTTACGGATCGTTCCTTAGTTTTGTATGGCCTTCGGATTTGTCATCCAAATGATAAGTAACACAATGGGAGAGTGAGGAAGTGAGTGAGTGTTAAGCAGGCATATACAACGGTTAAAGAGATCTGATTCTCCCAAGGAGTCCGAATCCTCAGTTTACTTTTTTGTGATGTTTTTGACATGATCACCTAGTACAGGTCTTCACTTAGTTTCGACCCTGAACATTTAAAGTAGCTACCCTCCCGAGAAGAGGTTCGCTGATTTGAACACGATGTTCATTTTCAAGTAAATAAACTTCAATCTGTCACAGTTGCGGGAGAGAAGATTTGATTGCAACCAATGCGAAGCACTTTAAAGATGTTCATTCGAATGGTCTCGACTGTCTACGCTCTCTCGGCACATCATTACATCGCCGTAAAGAATGATCTCGCAATATTTAAGGCATTGAAGTAGGTAAAGAAGAATTCGGAAAATAGTAAAGGCCGAGGTATAATGCTTTGAGGTACTCCAACTGTGAGAGGTTTAGGAAATGAGGTACAATTTGTATTTCTGGTAATCTGTTCGCGATTTAGGAGGTACAGCTTTAACTAATCGATGGAACTTTTATCCCAACCTAAAATGAAGTATTTTGAGGAAGAGTTGATGGTCAAAAACACTAGAAGCCTAGCAGGTCGAGGAGAATAACACCTGAGGTGACGCCATCATCCATATTATCCAAGACTTCATCCGTGAGAGCAGCAAGGGCCACCTCAGTGGAAAGGCTTGGGCCCATAAAAGCCAAAATGTTCGGGAGTTCGCAAATTCTTCTCTATGAGGTGGGTACAAAGATTCCCTAGACCCAGCTTTGTCTGATTTGAATGGTTGATATCGTAACAGGTCTGAAGGTATTGAGGTCGGTTCGGTCGGTCGGTCGCTATTTTTCATTCTTGATTTCATGTTTACAAGGGACACCAGCTTCGCTGGTGAGATACACAAGGGAATGATCCCTCAATGTCAGATGAAACACGCCATTCTTTAGTACACGATGGTTGTTTTTCACCAAAGATGAGATTTACCCTGCTCTTTATATTAGCATATTCGGCGTTAAAATCCCCAGTAAGTCAAGTACGGTATCATCTGAAAACTTTGATAGAACAGCATTCTAATTGTCAATTAAGTTATGCAGCTTATAAGTGGGAGCTTTGTTGTTGTTGTAAAAAGTTGTCTGGCTCTTTAAGTTGGGTGATTTCGACCCCATAATTTTCAACCGAGACCGAACTGAAATACAAGACCGGAATAAGAAACCCGTTCAATGAGCCGTTCCACCGTGCCTCTCCGAACGATCTTGTCTGACAATGGAATATCCTGGAATATGTAACTAATTATTGAGGCATGAAGCCTTGTCTTCGAGATCGTAAGATGTGGAAAAGTTGATTCTCAACTAAGGAGCGAACGACATTTAACTTTTGAGGAAGGTTTCTGAAATTTAGTTCGCCAATTATCATGAGGCGAGTTTTGAGCTGGTGTTGTGCAAGATTAGAAGGCGCCGTTGGCGGGGACATTCAGATCAGCGTTCGAGTCCGGTTTCGATGGAAAGTCACTTTTACGACGAGCTAGAATCTTGATCGCTTCAATGTTCTCTGAGACAAATAAGTATCAGACCCGTAAACGGCAAATGAATATTGTAGGTTATCATCGAGCGTAAGACACAAATTGCTAAACGACAGCGAGCCACGACCAACCGCCATTTTGAGTTGACATCAAACAAACAAATAAAGTATTTTGTCTCATTTTATTGCCATCGTTTTCTTGGATAGTATACCCCCCTTCACCCGATTCTTTTAGGTTTCAGCTGCTATTTGTTACAAAGAACTTTAAAGTAGCAGCGAGTTTTTCTTTAAAGGATATGTGCAGTGCGATTACTTGGTTCCATTTCCGTTAACATTCCAAAACACAGACATTAGAGTATCAAAGGTGACTGCTGCTGTTATAAATAACCAACCCAGGTATTGGGAAACATTTATGGGTCGTGATATGAGAGTAGCTCCTTATTCTTAGGCATACCGTTAAGATCTCGTTGCAACTATGCAATTTGTCATCGTTTCAGAACATTTTCAATACAAAAATTACCCTTTGGTCTAGGTTAGGAGAATCTTTGAGATCATGATCCTAAACCAAGACATGCAGCTTTGGTAATAAAATGCTCTGTCTTGTGTCTCTACAAACTGTGTGACATGGAGCATACTTTATACTGTAACTAAATAACAAAACTGTAAGTTTATTTCATGCTGGAAATTATGCATGAAACTCTTTTTCATAGCTACTGAGTGCCTCTTTAAAGATGGTAAAAGGCAATTTGTTAAAATGTAGTTGAACAAATCAAGTATTATCACTTTCTTTTCAAAAAGATGTTTTCTCGTACTACTCTGACTGAACTGCACTGCTCACTGATCAGGTGTCATCATGATGTGTAAAGATTCCAAACTCTTTGTAATGCGATAGTTTTCTTTACCAATGATGGATGTAAAAATAAAATCATTGAAATGATCATGAGCACATGCATGATTTTCATGTCTTGAGCCTTTTACTACTGTTTTCCTTTTCCTTTGGTTCATTTTTCGTTTTTCACTCACCCAAAGAGTGACTTGTATCACCAACTTAGACAGGAATGTAATGACGCTATAGTAAATTATTTGTTCAAAGTCTATATTCCTTTTGAGTTAATTGTATTAGCAATAAAGTTTGCAACCAATTGTTAAAGGAATTTTGTAAACAGCATAATGTTGTAAATTTGATAATGATCGTAACTTTGGGCCGGGAATTTTTGTCGAATGGTTCTAAATGATGTGTTGACGACGGCGATTTGCTGCCATTTAATGTCAGGTGTATGTTACAAGCATGATTGCACATTTGATATACGGCAGATACTGGAAGATTAGAGTGCTGCTTGTAACTTTCATATTCGAGGTAAAACCAGAAAAAGAACGAGAATTTAAAAGTTAAGCTTTAGAATGGTGATTAAAAATAGGTCAGAACTTATATCTTTAACAGTTGATGCAGTTTCGTTTCTGGAAACAGACGCCGCCTTTACTTGGTTATGCGTGTGCCCAAATTTAGAATCCATTTTTTTATTTGCTTTTGGGGAGACGGCGATTTATTTAAAATTGGATTAAATTAGTTGAGTGATAAAAACAACTATCCTTGTTGTCTTATGCTTCTTCGTCCTTTTTTTGCATTTGTTCTTTTGTGTATTGTTTTATATCTTTCCTCTACTTTGCGGTGTTTTTTATTCAGAAGAAAACAATCCAAATACACAAACTAACAGATAAGCGTTCGTTTTCCATTCCTTTCGAACATTAGTTGAAACATTAATAGTTGTAGGATTAACATTTAGCATTGGCATAATCCCTTTGAATTCTATAATACTTCAGCAAGACGTCCCAGTTATCCTCGTGGGCTGAAAGAAGCTTAAGTCTGATCGAGTATAAAATAAAATCTGCTTTGAACTTAAGAGGGGGTAATTTTTTTTGGGACATGCTCCGGAGCTCTTTAAGAACAATTGAAAAAATAATATGTGATGTTGTGTTGGCATAGTTCAATTATCCACTCCATTAGAATACGAACATTTTAAAGGATTATTTAGAATTAAAAGCGGGACTGTAATATTTCCGTAACACTTGCCTTTGATATATGCTTGCATATTTGTACAGTAAAATGTCAATGGCTTTATTCAGTGTTTCAACCCCAAAGTTTCCAAAATGCCGCTTTCCTTTGACTCGCCCGATGTACTTATTTGGGAATCAGGCTGCTCGTACCCACATTTTTCACCGAAAATAAAATTTTTCTATTGACAATACATCTTTAGGCGGGATTTGCCATGGCTTTCACCAGAAGGGAAACTTGTGAGACATCTCTGCGTAGACGATCTATAGACTATGATCTGATACCAGTTCTCGAGTGAATAAATTAAATTCGTGAATCAGCAGGAGTGATTTAATGAAAAGAAAGCTGATCTGCGTTAACATGATTTAGAGAGCAGCTGTCCGAGTTCAGGCGAGACCTACCAGATCTTGTTTATTTGCTTCGGCTGTCGGTGCTGAGGTTTTTAGCTGAGTTTTAGTTATCGCCGATCGATAAGGACCTCTCGTCCCTGAATTTATGGTCTAGAGAATTAAGTTGTCAGACAGTGGACGATGTTCACAGATACCTCCTTTGATGCTCGACACAAGAATCTCCTGCGAGAGGAAAAGCCGCCTTTGTGCCATTTTCGCTGCTGTTTTCTTCTTCGCTAATTTCCGAATTTTCTTTTATGACCTTGATGAGAGCACAAGAATTGCAGATTGACCGTTTTGTGACCTAACTATGTCAGGTATTGAAGATGTATCGAAACATGTATTTTGAAACTACAAAAATCTTACCAACGCTTATGTTGTTTGTTTGGCCATCAAATCTGACGAGATTGCGTCAACTTCTTTTTACAGGTTGACAATCAATGCCGTTGTTTCTTAAGAATTGTGTCAGTTCTGATGGATGACATAGCTGCTATAATCGTAGCCACTGTTATCCTCAAGAATATACCTCTGTTGATATATCAGGTTAAAAAAAAACAACAACAGAAACAAATATTAGCTTTTTAGGTGATAAATTATTGTGAGTGTTTAGGTTCTCAAAATCAATTTTGACAGCTAATTAGTGTGATACTAAATGCCATAGCTCTCTAAAAGTGTCTGTAACAGTAAAAATTGTCAATTTTCTCGGCCAACGGATAAATAGTTCGGCCGTTTTACGGCTTATGGTTATCTCCATTTAGACCCTCCTCCACGTGGCACAAACTGACATTCTAGGGAGAATATACTTTAAAAGTAATTGAAAGAACCTGACCGCGGAGTTAACCAGACTCAAGTCTCAGCAGCATCAGCTTATTCACCTCAAACAAGAATTAAGATCATGAATCTCCCTATAGAACTTGCAAACAGTTCTAAATCACGCACACCGTGCAATTTACTAGAATTAGGACTTTCGTTTTGAAAAGGTCATGGACTAAAAATACGATTAAGGATCAAGATTTTTGTTCTCGGTCACCTTCTGGAAGCAATAAAATACACAGCTAGAGGGAAATAACATCGAAATCAGTCTGATGTAGTTGTCAGTCAACACTTCTCTTCATCAATTTAAGGGTGTGTCTCGTACAAAGATACAATCCCTTGGGCATTAAAAGACATCTATCGCTTGAACTTCTGACTTATTTGCATGATGAGGGCTTCTATATTTCCTCAATAGATTTTTAGAGCATTTAAGAAGTATCCAGCCATTTCGTATCTCTGATCAGACTTACAACATTTACTCGTTGGTTTGAGAGCAATACATCCATCGCTATTAAATGAATTTTGATATTTTCATTTTCTTTCAAAATAAAATTAATGCACTTCCTCTTTCCTCTAGTACTACGACCAAAGTCGTGTTTATCATCTGTCCTTTCTTTTTTAGGTAGTGCTTGTAGAATTTTCAATTTTGGAGGAAATTCACTTTCTTAAATCTTGGATTTACGAGCTCCTTTTTGCAGTATTGAAAACAATAATGTCTTGTCACCGACATAAACTTCAGATAAAGAAAGATATTTTGCGTCTTGTCACGAGAGTGGAACAAAGATAAAAAATTCTGAGTCCCCATCAGGAATCTAACCTCAGATCTTCGGATTCCGCGCTCCGATGCTCTACCACTTCAGATCTTGATCAGTTCTCATTGGATGTGAGACGTTCGTTTGCACAACCTGATAAAAAGACATTTGTGGCAATCAGGATCTACTCAAACGTTTCAAAGCAAAGGCCTGGTACCCGGAGGAATAGATTGTGAGCCACGCCCACATTGCTTGTACGCATTTCTGCCCAATAAAACCATGCAATGAGTGAGGGGAAAAATGAGCAAAGAAAAAAAGAATTCACCGCTTTGCTTGCTCCTTACTTGCGCTGCGTTTTCGTCTTTAAAGTTAACAGCGATTTTTATCATTGTCACCGGCGTAATGAAATATTTCAGGAGGTGCTGAAGTTTCGCATTTAATCATTACTTATTTACTACTCGAGTTCAAATTGTTGTTGATTATATATTCTGCTTGTACTTCAACTTGCTCTCTAGTTGATGAATTTTTTTTCTTCGATTTGAAGAGTTCACGGCTACTTTTAAAGAAAAATAAGTCAGCGGATCCTTATGTACAATCATTTCTTGTTCAAGTTCAGTTGAACACACGAGACACTTATTTTAGGCATTATCGAAAACGATGAAGTATTGCCGTGTTGTAAGCACTCTTTTTATTCTCGTGTTAACAATAAGTGTTGTTTGGGGAAAACACAAAGGAAGGCGATCAAAGGATCATTTGCGTCATAAACACATGCGACTCTTGACTCATGCAAAATTCTTCAGACATCCTGACAATTACAGCACCCTGGCTCATTCTAATCACAGACACGAAAGAGGTAAGTTGATCGGTGACGCTATCGATTTTCATTTCCTTTTCGCCTCGTCAGAGATGAGACCTCATATGCATATGACTCAGATTTTTGCTCATGCAAGAGAAAAATCTGAAAGTTTGGCACGGCCTCTGGGGTAATACAACAGCGTGTTATGGACACCTTCCTTAGAAGTTGAAATATTTTAGTAAAAGTAAAATCATATCATACCATGGTGAACTTAATTTTAACAACGATAATATTCTAAACATGAAAAAAAAGAAATGAAATAGAGTTAAGTTACAAATCATTTTGTCGTGAATAAGGAGAGTTTGTGCTAGCTATGCTTGTTGAACACGAGAGGATCAAGATAAGGCAGTTAAAACCTCGTATACTCCTTATTGCGATGCTGACCTTTCTCAGGGTATTTCTAGGTCGCTTCCAGTCCTGTGGACCCAGGAAGATCTAGAACCAGCCGATCAGTTTGTTTCGTGAATTGGCTCATGCACCGCGAGTAACCCATGTGGTGCCCACTCAAACTTCATTGAAAAGTCCGTGCGACAAAATAAGATCACTAAGTATTATTTCACTGGAAATTAAAAACATTTGAATTGGTGTCAGTTATTGAGCAACTGTTCAGCTTGTTATCAGTTGGTTTTTGTTTGGTTAGGGGAGGGGTGTGCAGTTTTAGCCAGAAACTGACATTAGTCAAAATATTTTACTGGAAATACAACTTGAAAGGAATTCCTTTCAAAACGAGGGGTATATGGTACCCAGCCTCCTCGTGAAACTCTCCTCTAATGACAGAGCCATTTACCTGATGTGATTTTTCGTTACCATCTTGAGGTCATCATCATCCACCAGGTTTAAAATGCCGTCGAATGAAATTCATTGTGAATCGAAATATAAAGTTAAAAAAGAAGACTACAGAGGCATTGAAGAGAAGGATGACAAACAAGCGCACAAAAAGAATGTTACACAGGTTCACCACAAGCAAAAGGTTTCATCTGTAAGTTTACAGTTTTTTTTCTGGTGACATATATCTTTGTTGCTTTTTCTCTGCCCTTTACACTTGGCCGAGCCCAGTCTAACAATCGATTAGGTGCGCCTACGGGCATTTCCGTCCAAAAGCTGATAATTCCTGTATCAGCCCATGTGATTTCGGCTGAGTAATCCTTAATTTCTTTTGTAACAGCATGAAACTGCTTTACGGCTCATTCATTATAATATACTGATATACTAATACCAAAAGAGTGCTCAACCGCGTTTTTTTAGTCCAAGAAAAGCCAAGCTGTTTGAGGATAGACAAGGGAACTTAATAACTTACATTGAGGATTGTGTTTCGTCTGGTAAGCAAACAGATTTCATCTTAAATCGTTTTCAAACTTTTCATTTTCCATGCATTTGTGTACATTCTCTCATTTTGAAGAAGCTATTGATATGAATTCATTTAAATACCCCTTATTAGGATGTTACTTTTGTTACCCATTCACTTAAAGAGCTTTCTATTCTTTCGAGAAAATGCAGAGAAGAAGGACTTTTTCGGGAGTCAGAGAGAATTGTACATAGGTGGGTCATGTTTGAAGCATATTTCTCACCAGTTTGGTGCATCGTTACCTCAGCACTAACCTGACAAGCCTGTTTTATGACTTTTCGTGCGCATGTAGTCTTTTAAATTCTAAGAACGTTTTTCCTCTATCTGTCATGACCTACAGTCAAATCTACATTGATCATTCAATTTTCAGATACAAGAAACTCATGAACCGTAAAAAGCGTTCAGAAAAAAAGCACTTGGAGATTTAAGGGATAAAGCGAATGTAGGATGTTAGTTTAGGACTGGCTGACGTCTGACTGTTGTTTGTTTTCTCTTATCAGAGCCTGCATTTTACCAAAAGAAAACTCAACATATCCGTCGTCCATCTTCATCTCATTTAACGCATCCTCTATCAGAAGACAATGATAGTAAGTTTGTCAGTACAAGTGGTTGCCCCAGTGAAAGTGTGAAAGCTTGAAAATAACTTAAAATTACGTCTTGAGGGTAAAAACGGGAAGGAATTTATAAGGCTCAAATAGAGTACTTCCGGCCAGGCAATGTTAACACGTTAAACGAATCCCACGCCGTATCTGAGCCGGCCAAAATAATTGATTTTTGATATGCTATTTCAAATCCGAAATAAAATTCCACTCCTCTCATACTCAGGGAAGAGCTTCAAATCCTTAATGTTAATCAAAACACTAAGCTGAGCTACCAGAAAATGAACCCAATGTTAAATACCGATAGCCATGGTACTTAAGGGACTCGAAGGTGTGTAACAATTTCACGCTTTCAGACCCGAATATAAATTAAGTGTTTTTCAAATTTCTGCCCAAAAGGGGTTTAACTACCTGCTCTCAGCTGCCATACCATGATATCTATAGAGCCCATCGTAGAGAGTCCAACCTCCGCACCCACGCCCCCCTTCCTTTTACCGAGTCTTGGTACCTTTGTAACCGGCATTTTATCATTCAATATTTTAGTTACAACCTTGCAATCAAGTGAGGATGAAGTCAGTAATGAGGAAATTCTTCCAGCCTCTGAAGGTATTAAGGAGCTGCATGAAGTCATAAATGATTCGCCCTTATCGTGCGAAATGTTTTTTAAACCCTCGAAGAATTTTGAGGTAGCAGACTAAATTGGTAATTAACAATCTCTTAATTAACTTTATTAACAGACTCTTTGCTTCAAACAGTGTCTGACTCAACAAAAATTCTAAAAGACAGTGAACAAAATATGAAAGAAGGTAGGATCAAATATTATTTGCGTTGAAAGCATCCTGAGCCAGTTTTATGCTTTTATATCATCATAATTTATCACTACTCGAGCCACCTTGAGCTCGTGATGTTTAAAATATTGTACTTCCTTAAAATTTTGTTCTCATCATGTTGTTTTATCATAAAATCTTGTTTTACAAGGAACTGCTGAATTATTTAATGGCCAACACGAAACAGAAGTTCCCTCTAACTTCGGTGAGTTAATTTCTTGAGCAACGTTCACTCTTCGATTTTTATAAGATCGTCAGTCCGTTACCTTAGTTTTCCTTAACATTAACCGCCGAATATTACTGATTTTAATTTTAAAGACGTCCTTTAACCTCTTTTCAAACATGTTTTTCTCCCTTTTCTGACGTTACTGGTTTAGGGACTGCATTTCAAGCTACCACAGTGGACAGTCCTGTTCCCAAAAGACCTGAGGAGGGAAGTGGTAGGTTACATGACATTTAGTAAATTGTAGGTTAAAAGAAACGTTCGAAATTTAAGTAATCACGCCGGCAACTCGAGTCATTATGTGGTCGCAAGAGCCATTACCTACCAGGCAAAGAAGTCAAAGAATCACTAAAGGCCTATTTACACGGTACGACTTTGTCGCATGCGACAAGCTTACGACAGGCCTACGACACGAATTGTATCGTGTAAATCAAACCTACCACTCGCTTACGACTGTCGTGCACGTCACGAAAAATGTCGTAGGATTTTAAAACATGTTTTAAAACGCTGCGACAATCGTAGCCGAAATTGATGGAAAATGACGTATTTTGTGACAAATTTCTACTGAGTAGGGGAGGAAGGTGAAATTTTCTTGCGTCAAAATGGCAGAGGAAGTCGCCTCCGGAAAGTCGAAGACTGCTTCCAAAGCGAAAAATACATTCTCAGATGAGGAAACAGAGAATATGATATCACTGTGGAGCGAGGAAGAGGTTCTTTTCCTTCTCTTGCAAATTATTGAAACAATGACCGCGGCCGAAACGAGTGGAATTGCACGCGATTTTGGCATGTCGTAGGTGAAAATGTCGTGCGCGTGTAAATTGTCCTAAGTCATGTCGTAGGCCTGTCGTAAGCTTGTCGCATGCGACAAAGTCGTACCGTGTAAATAGGCCTTAAGATAATTCTACTTTAGAGGGCTTTTGCAATATCCTTCCTTATTACTAAGGATACATCTGTCAAAATAAGGATTCTAAACGAATCCTAGATGTTGTAGTGGGAAATCTCTGCCCGTAGTAGATTGATCAAGCGTGTCGCTATTATTTTGTCTTCTAATAAATGAACATTGCGGAGTTTTAGAGTACTTCTTTTCACCAAAATATGAATAGCTTAGATTTAAACCTAGCCAGTGAACAGCAGACTTCTTCTAAATATTGTTCATCTCTTCCTCAATTTTTTCAGAGCTTCAAAGTTATTTCTCGTCAGCTGGTTTGACGAGCATTGCTCGTATAAATAGCGACGGTAAGAATACACATTTAAAAGACCGCTTCATTTCAAGTCGATAAAAAACAAAGGTTACATAAAAGCGCATCACTTGGTTTTTGTTGTTATCGCAACCTCTACTGTTTTTTACGTCTTTATACCTAATAATCTCCTTTTTTCGAACAGCCAGTTCATGAAACTTTGCTAACTGAATGCCTAATTTCCTTAAAATCTAACAACTGTTTACAACTTGCCAAAATGCCGCTCCTGTCATATTTATGTTGTTTATCATCTAAACTTCTCACAAATTCATCACAACTTAAAATTTATATTAAAAGAAAAAAATAATTCCTTTGTTTTTGTTAACATGAAGTGTTATGTTTAGTAAAAATACCAAAGAAAAATGACGTTTAGTAGTAAGAATACTTATGTTAAATATTTTGGTATCTCTGTAATATTTCAGTTGTGACGCCAATTTCCCAACAACCTCTGAATCTAGATCGGCAATATGATGATCAGCTTCCTCTGCACATGCCGAACGCAGGTAATCTTCTTACTGTTTCCCAAATGCAGTGTTGAAGATGGTGGGAAGGGAGGAGTGGATGGGGGGATTCAGTCATATGTTGGCTTTCATGTCTGCAGTCAGGTATAGAATTAATCACTTTTCGCTTTTTTTTCTTACCTAAGGACACCTAAACTATTCGTTAGATCTGAAACTCATTCCCCAATCAGCAATGTACAAAACTCTAACTGCTAAACAGAACAAAAATACCATATTGTACGTCTTTGTCTTTTGAATTCCTCTGCTTAATCGTTTATTGTTAATACTGATGTTATATCGCTGAGCAGTGACAAATCTTTCACTCAGGGTTTGTCAACGGTCCACCCCAAGAGACACAAGCAGGGTTTGTCAGTAATCCCTCTGGTGAGGCTCAAGCTTTCACTCAAAGTAAGGTGGCTGTTTCTTGCACCATGATCGTTATGTTTCTAAAGGCTGGCCATTGGGACCGATGGTCGATGGCTAATTTTTTCGGAGAAGAAAACCTTTTGTCTTAAAACATAAACCGTAGAGAACTAGAAACAAAGTTGATTGTTACACGACTCAATTAACATAATCAAGAGTCACTCACTTATATACAACCATCACGAAAGATTAATGAAACCGAATTTTGCTTCGAACTTTGCTTCCTTACTCTTTAGAGGATTATGAGAACCCCCTCAGAGATCCGGGTAAGTACAAAGCCAGCGTCTTACCTTTTAAAGTTTTTGGCAGTCTGTCTTTATTAAGCTGAATGGAAAAACATCTTCACAACATTAGAACTTCACCGCAAATCTAGGTGGGTAAAGTTAAGGTAATTAATTAACTGCAAGAAATTATCAAGTTATAGTTTCATAATTTTGGATGAAGAAGTCGATAAAACTATCACTTCAATACATATTTATTGAGCTTGTCTGAAGAAAATTCATCATCTGATATTGAAGACCCCAAGCGATATAAACTGTGTGTTCTGCCTTATTTAGAGAAAACCCCCACCAAATTCATCCAGAATAACGGAGGATATCCAGGTAAAATGCTTAATGATAACAAATGTAATTGTTTTGACAAAGAATTAGTTTTGGAATAATTTAGGATAGGTCAGCTAGTAAAAACCATTTTGTTTATTTTGGTCGAAAGATAGTGCTTAAATAAAATCAATTTGGTTTTATTGTAATGGCTTTCATCTATATAGCTTGTTGAGCTAGCGGCTGTTCCGATTTTGTTTCTGTTTTCAGTGCACACCTTCTCAGAAGCCTTTGATAAACTGCATAACGCAGAAATACAGGAATTAGCGGGATTCACTGACGAAAGTATGAACACTGCTTAGTTACAACCTTTGTCACTTTTTTAATCGGTGATTGCCTCAACCAGCTTAATTTTACTAAAGACTGGTAAAACATCTAAATCCTTCTCGTCAGCATCATCTCCATTTTTCTATCATCATCATCTTTCAGGTCCAACGATCAATTTTATCGACCCAATAGCGCATTTTGTTATCTTTTTTTGCTGATTTTATTTATTTACAGGCGTAGTTCCCCAGTCACTGAGAGAAGCAATGAACGTTGAAAGCGCCGAGGCAAATTATGAGAAAACCTACGAGACTTTATATGGTTTGTACTTTTATGGATTTTTTATCAAATCTCCCTGAAATAAACATATTAAGAGTTGATGTTTAATTCTCTTTAACAGGTAAAGGTAAATCCATCAGTCTGCAGAAAGGAGCTGCATATTTGCCCGTAAAGGATAGCAGTCAGAAATAAATCAATCACTTGTATTTGCATTTGCTTGCCATCACCTGCGAGAGGGTTTAGCGACGGAGCAGATAAGCTCTATTTGCTGGAAAAGGTTCGATTCGGGATGGTAGACATTAATTCTTCATTCTGGAAAACATACTACCTATACAATAAAACTGACTCAATAAACGTAATTTTAAAGTTCTGAAGATGGCCCGATTTCTCAAATTTTGAACCTTGTGCGATCTTCCTTAAATCAATTTCGCAAGTTATGAAATCAATAAAGTAATTTATGAACGAGAATGCTGTATGACACCGGCTCGAATTACATCGAACAACTACTTTCTTGAACGTGTTAAATGTTTCATCGTGAGACTAAAGCTTTAGTTCAACTGGTCATGGTGTGTGGTGTAAGCAAAACATGGTTGTGATACGATGTTTGTAGATCTTGAAAACAGATGTGTGATACATTCTCGCCGATGAGGATGTAATTGGAGAAAAAACGGAGCCTAAGAAATTTATGCCGCTTTGTAGGTATTTTGTAATTACAGTGTAATCGTTCGTGTGGCGTCATCATTTATTTTTCAGCTTGGATTTCAGTGATGTTTTAATGTCGTTTTTCTTTATCAACTTCGCTCAGAATGGCCTGCAAGTCCACAGAAGTCAAATAGAAAGTTCGTTTGTCAACTTGGTCGGTACCAAGTGAGCACTTCCTCTTAATTAGATCACATGAAAGGGCAGTCAGTGAGTTGACTATCTAAATAGGGTGAGGTTCATATTCGCGCACAAGAGAGACACCTCTCTCGTCGCGTACTAGGTGTTTATAAGGCAAAAAACTAGTAAAATCAACAACTCAAAAGTTAAGGTTCTCGATCAAAGCGTTCAATTTCTTTGTTTTATAAAATTTCCATTAAAATCTAAAAGGGAGGACAAATAACCTTGAAACGCATAATTTAGATTCCCTTATTTTACCTTTATTTTCTTTCATAACAAAAATATTTGCTGTCTACTGCATTTAAAAACCAGCGCAATTCCTTTACATTTAGTGATTACTAAAAATGTGATCAAACATTTATTTAGACCGTCGCATCATGTCAAAAATTGTAAGTAAATTCTCTTATCTCTCTGTTTTAATCTGCCGAGGACAAACTGTACACAGTCCTTGTTATATTAGTCACACTAAGGAGTTCAGTTACCAAAATGAATGACACTTGAAGATTACACGATTCCAGTACACGTCCCGCAGTATGTCTATGATCACGTGTTTAATGTGCCTCATCTTCCAGCAGTAAATGAAAAGGTTCAAAGATGAATTGAGATACACGACAGTCACTGAGAAAAGGTAAAAGTGCTCGAGCCGTAGATTCGCATAACTGCCATGCAAGCAAAAAAAGCAAATTACAAACTAAAAAAACGAGATATAAGTAGTATACACCATCTGTAGATTTAATAAGGAAAGAAAAATTTGTCGCCTCACGACACTGGACTTCTGCTTGTACTTGCGTGGACTGAATCTGATTCTTGTGCCTTCGGACGGTTAAATATATCCGTATTTGCATCACAAATGTGAGAATGAATATGATAGCTGAAGGAAAAGAAATAATAAGATCCCGACTACTCTCTTTAAAGAGACAAATACACTATACACCCATATGGAGATCACTACAACGACAACTCGCTTGTGAGTCACAAGCTCCTGGTATCTGAGATGAAATTAACAGCTAAGAACTGTCTACACTTACAGCTAAAACACTGAGGAACGAAGCAGTTGAAAATAAACAACCTGAAATGTTACATGTTAGGTATGCGTTGCAGCTTGGATACTAGTTTTAACCAATTGACCAGAGGGAAAGTATAAATTGCCTGAGCAAATAAACCAAGCCCAAAGTCAGAAACAGCAAGACTTAGCAGCAACGTTTTCAAAGTCTTCGGCCAAAATGACGTTTTCGCATCACGCACATCGTCACAATGTTCAACATGATAACGGTATACTAAGAAATTTTTTGAGGACACAGTTGACAACGAAAGTTTTTCGAAGATCTCTAAAGTCAGAATGAGAGGGTACATGCGGCAGAACTTCTGCATAAAACGAACCGTTCATGATCATGACCAACGCAAGATGCTTTACGATCCTTTGTCATGCTAATGTACTGGTTTTCCGCATAGGTACCCTAGTTTTTATAAAAACTCTCCTTTCCATACGTTCCTGGAGTTTTTGTTCAGAAGCTGTGAGATCTTGCTGTCACCACCTGGGTGAACAAAGACGACTCGCGGAAGCCGGTTTTGAGCTCTTCGTATTTCAACCAATTGCAAAAGGTAATATAATATTTCTCAGGCAAGAGACAGATAACGGCTTTTGTATAGGTAAATCAATTGAAACTGAATACTCGCTGTTTCATAGTACCTTATTTCTGATTATGAAGGGAATAAATGGCAAGTGGACCATTTTTTGTCGTCTTCTGCTGCTGAAACTCTCAATTACGTGATATATAATTTGCTAGCAATGACAAAGAAAATAATATCATCTCTCAGTATGTAATGATATGCGAGATCTCAGTTGTTATGCAAAATTTCATTTATTTTCCTAACATATTTAACTAATAGCTACTCCTGTGTAAACTATAGCGCTTGAAATTAACGTATTAATATGTGAATAAATCATTTATTTTCATTTAGTTTCATGTTCAAAACCATTTCCATTTCCACACAGACAAGTTCATCCTTGTTAGGTCTCAAGTATTTATTCGATCTGTTAAGAACAGGCTGTATGCAGCTCTCAATTATCAACACGGACGGCATTTGAAGACCGACTGTAAAGTACGCGAGATGGATGATTTCTTTTCCGAGTCATATTTCGCAGTATGTCCATGATAGCGTGTCTAACGTGTCTCATCTTCCAACAGTAAATGACAGGGTTCAAAGATGAATTAATATAAATGAGAGTCTGTGACCAAAGATAAAAGTGTTTTAAAGCGATGCTCGAGCCATATATTCTAACAAGAACCAGGCAAATGAAAAAAGGCATATAGCAACCTAAAAAAACGAGATATACGTAGAAAACACCAACTGTGGATTTAGTGAGGGCAGAAAAATATGCTATTTCATCAGACTGAGCTTCTTCTAGTACTTGGACGGACTGCATCTGATTCTTATGCCGTCGGACAGTTAAATATATCCTGATGTACACCACGCAAGTAATAATGAAGCCAATAGCTAAATTAACGGAACTGAGAAGAACCTGAGCAATGGAGGATCTCGATAATATGATGAAAGAAACAAATACACTATACACCCATATGGAGATCACCAAAATAACAACACGCTTGTGAGTCACAAACTCCTGGTATCTGAGATGAAGATGAACAGCTAAGAACCTGTCTACGCTTACAGCCACAACACCAAGGAACGAAGCGGTAGTTAATAAATAACCTGAAATAGTCCTCACATGGTAAGCAACGCAACTTGGATCGTCTAATTTTAACCACTTGCTCAGAAAGAAAGTGTAAAATGGCTGAACAAATAAACCAACTCCAGCGTCAGAAACAGTAAGACTTAGCAACAATGTTTTCAAAGTCGTTGGCAAAGTTAACGTTTTTCGCATTGCGTACATTGTAACAATGTTTAACATGATGGCGGTATAACTAAGGAAAATATTGAAGACACAGTTAACGATGACAGATGTCCGAAGCCTCCTCAAGTCTGAATGAGAGGGGATATATAGCAAAAAGTCTGCACAAAACGATCCGTTCATCATGATTTACGCTAACAAGGTGCTTTACGACTTAAGGCCAGTAAATTCAGCTTACTACATCGGTCAGTTCCATCTCCTTACTAACCTGGTTGTTTTTAGAAACGAAAAGTTCTTCACAAGCACTCACTTTTTTAGATAGCCTCAAGATTATCCAATCTTTAAACTATCTGTGGCCACCTGGCCGAATGAGAATCTGATGACTCATCAAGTGTTGATGAGGGCTTGAACACTAGTTCTTCATATATCACCTTTCTGAGGATAGGTTACGAGATATTTCTTATCAAAAGGTAGAGGAAGTTTCTTTTTTTAATAAGACATACATTGAAACTAAGTAATAGCAATTTCATAGCATCTCCTGTATCATTATCCGGAGAATGAATTACAAATAATCTATTTTCAGCCACCTTATGCCGTAGAAACTCTAAATTATGAGCACTCAAATCTTACTTGAGAGTCACAAGCTCCTGGTATCTGAGATGAACATCAGCAGGTTCAGCTGCTGTTCGTGGTGAAGCCAGGAGATCAGCTTGTCCCGAACTTAATACCCAACTGGCTCAATAAAACTTGAGCGACATAAAAGTCATTGATATAAATCGTGTGGACTTGTACATTGTAACAATGTTTAACATGATGGCGGTATAACTAAGGAAAATATTGAAGACACAGTGTACTTGTGGACTTTTCGTGCATGATGATAGAAAAATTTACATAGCTTGTAATTGAGATGTGAATAAAAGGGTATATTATATTTTGAAAGCGGACAGCATTGCTTCCCTGTCGTTTTATGTTGTGACAGAATCTTCAAAGTGCAAAGTCGCCCATGAAAGATACCGCAAGATAAAGATGCCTGAAAAATTAATGTGAGACTATCTACTAAAGGAATTAAAAATGAAATTTTTACACACTGAGCCACTCATTTTTTTCATAGTTTCTTAATGGGTGCGGAAATACAAGATCTATCTGAAAAAGGTAGAGAGAATTACGCATTCCCTAAAAAAAAAATGAAAAGGGAAATTTACATGAGACGGTGAATAATAGAAAGTGTACTGATGGCTGAACAAATAAACCAACTCAGACATCGGACATCTATATCTTTGTCCATCTGCCGCCATTTAGCGAAATAACGAAATAAAGATGACTCATGGAAGTTTTGAGCCATGTTTTTTTGAGAGCCTACGAGTCCTCTTCAATATATTTTAACCGCCTGTGAAATGGTTGCGTAATATTTCTCAGGCAAGAAACAAATGGAGTTTTTGTTTTGGTAAACTGACGAATTAATTGAAATTGAAAACTGGCAGTTCCATTGCACCTTCTTCCTTTTTGTTCAGAGAGTAAATGACAAACGGATTATTCTTGTCGCCATCTTTTCACCAGAACTGTTAGAATATAATAGCATCGCTCAGGTTGTGAAGACTAGCGGTAGCTGATGAGCTATTATGCAAAAATTTCAGTTTTTTAATGAAGCCCAAAAGTACATATCATATCACCCGTCAAGCTATTTTTGGTTTATACCATATTTTCCTATCAAACCCAGCTAATTGCTGCTCTTGCACAAAACTAAAGCATTGAGATTAACATATTTAGATATGCCTGAATACTTCCTTACTCTCTTTTGTTCATGTGGCTATTTCCGAGTCGTTGAGCTTCAGAGCAAACTGCAAACTAATTCATAACGAATAAAGGGGTAAGCTTCTAAGGAAAATGTGGTGCTGCGTCGGTGGAGGAGTATAACAAGATAATTTGATTCTATCAACTGAGTTGATAATGTATATCGGCCAACGTAAAGAGTTTCAAAGCTAACGCCGGTTTCGAGTGTTTGCCCTTCGTTTTTTGCTCTAACGAAGGGCTAACGCTCGAAACTTCCACTTTGAAACTCTTTACGGTGGCCAGTTTACATTATCAACTCAGTCAATAGTCCAAGTTATCTTGTAATTCATAACGAGTCGAGGAAAGATCACGAAAATGTGTCTCCGTATAAATTTCAACGTTTTCGTCCACGGTCCGTTTGAATAATCTCGTTTTGGCCTGAAGCTGAATTTCCTAATTACACAGGAGCAATTAGACCCATTGATGTCCCCTTCGTGAGGAAAACCACCTCGCTCTCACTGTATTGGGGGGTTAACACGTCGATTTAGATCGATGTTGCAAGGTAGACAAGGGGATATCTTGTTTCCTTGCAGAGTTTTCGAGAAAAATAATGGTAAAACCAAAATTGGGGGCATAAAGTCCGAAAACGAACCTCTATAGGAAGGAAAAACCACACTGGATGCTAAACCGAGAGGACGATTTCGTTTCGTTTATGCATAATATTTCATTGCACTACTGACAACTATAATATCAACTTACAAAAAGCATTTATAACATAGCTAGTAAATTTGTCTAATCAAATTCAATTGGGTGAGCGTGCTTCGTATTCCTATTGTGCACGCTCATGACGTCACAAAACAAATCCTTCGAGAAAAAATATTTTCCATCGGGTTGAAAATATTATAAAACAATTGGTTCATACGCCAGCTGTGCTTTCACTGAGATATGAAGCACTTGGGAAGTTTGGAGAGCACTCAAGAACCTAGAACCTTACGCATCTTTCGTGCTCTCCAAACTTCCCCCGTGCTTCATGTCTCGATGAACGCACGCTGACTTATGAACCAATTGTTAATTAGTCTTCCAGCAGATGTCTAGGGCGATCTGGATGCGAATCTTCTCTTAATTTAGTTTGCCGCACGTTGTTAAAAATATGAGTATTTCACTTTAATCGAGTATTTTATCGGATTTTCGTTAATTTCATCACATGCTCCATCCGTGTGGATGTGAACAGAAATAACAAGGTGGGTTGAGGTCATATAAGATAACTGCGACCTCCTTGCTCTCAAATTGAAATTCATACCGTAGAGTTATTCAGCAAGGAAATACGGGGCCAAACATCACTCCGTCAATTACCGTTCACTGGCGACTTGACAGCTATGAGATCTCGAGAGATTTGGTGTTTTTGACTGCGGAAGACTTCCTGTTGGATTTGATCCCGATGATTTATGGGAAGAGAAAGGTACTGAGTTGTTTCCCGTTTTCTATTGGAGGGAGTGGGGGAGAATTGAAATTATTTCGTTACATAGGGAAATCAGAGAGCCTGTTGACTGTCAAGGGATGATGAAAAATCAACTCAAAGTTTAGCTTCTCGATCAAAGTGGACATCAAAGCATTCAATTTCTTACCCTTATCTTTCCTAGTGTAATTCATTTATAATTTGTTTCATTCAAAATTTGATCACGCAGCAGTTATTTTGGTCAGCGCATTATATCACTAAATATAGTTACATTGTTGTCCCTCTCTATTAACTCTGTTGAGAACAAACTCCACAAAGTCCGTGCCAGTCACATAGAGGGGTTTAGTTTTCAACGTGGACGACGCTTGTAGATTGAATGTGAATTAAGCGAGGTAGCCGATTTCTTCTCTGAGAAATGTTCCGCAGCATCTCCATGATAGCATGTCGAATGTGTCTCATCTTCCAGAAGTAAATTACAGGGTTCAAAGATGAATTTAGGAGCATGAGAGTCAAAGGGAAAAGAAAAGACTTTTTCAAAAGGACACTCGAGCCGTAGATTCCAACGAAAGCCGTACAAATGAAAAAAGGCAAATAACAAATTAAAAAGACTAGATATGCGTAGAACATACCGAGTATGGATTTAACGAGGACAGCAAACTTTTTCATATCGTTAGACTGAGCTACCTCTTGTACTTGTAAGGAATAAATCTGATTCTTGTGCCGTTGGATAGTTAGATATATCCTGATGTACACCACAAATGTGATAATAAAGCCAAAAGCTACACTGACTGAAACAATAAAATCCCGAGTGCCGCGCGATTTCCACAATATCGATGAAGAAACAAATGCGCTACACATCCAATTCAGTGGAAATCACCACAATAACAACACGCTTGTGAGTCACAAGCTCCTGGTATCTAAGATGAAAATGAACAGCCAGGAACCTGTGTACACTTACAGCCACAACACCACTGAACGAAGCAGCTGAAAAGAAACAACCTGCCATAAACCATATTCGGTAAAGGTTAAAGATCGTTCATTTGTGACCACTTCACCAGAAAGAATGGTTGGTTTACCAAACCAACACCAATATCAGACACAACAAGACTTAACAGCAGCGTTTTCAAAGTTGCTTCCATTGTCGAGATCTTTTTTATCGCGTACATTGTCACAATGTTCAGCGTGATAGTAGGGTAAGTTAGAAAATTATTGAAGATAGAGTTTGCAATGAAGGTCGAATGAAGATCTTTAGGTTCGACGTAAGGTGGAATACGCTGCCAAGACTCGTTACAATACAGTCTGTCTATGATATCAACTCCGATCGAGTTATCCTGAAAAAAAAGATCAACATGAGATCTTAGGTTAGAAAAAAAAGGCTGTACTACGATGATTTCTTCTTCTCGACTTTACACTCTGCTCAAAATTTTACCTTTTTTAATGTACAAGTGAAGATCTTTAGCGAAGCAAAGAAGTGAAGTTTTTTAACAAAGTTTTGGCGGCCGGACTTTGTGATGACGTTAGCAGCTCAGCTTGTCAGACATAACGCCTATCAGACTTAAAAAAGCAACAGAACGTAGTGGTTGGCAATAATCAGCTTACATAACAGAACAACAATGCATGTGGTTTACCTCACAAAATTAATAAGTTTACAATATGTATTAATAGCAATATTCTGATAGATGGCAAGGAGAGCTCCAAAAGCCATGGGGGTTACACGAGAGAAGCCTCCTTACTTAAAAAAAAAAAGAAGAAAAGACGTGTTTATGTAAGCGATACGCGTTCATTTGGGACATTTCTTCTGCCAACCCACCATTCTTAATAGTCATTACATCTGTAGATTTAGTAAAAAACCTCGTAGAAGTCTTTATAAAAGGTTATTTGGGTTAAGGTAATTTGAAAACCTGAGACAACGAAGTCAGAATGTACGTTAGACAAAATAATTTTTAGACAGAGGCGGGCG